AGCCAGCAGCAGCAGACTGGTATAAAGGTAAGCTTTTACTATATAGGAGGAGAATACATGTTTGTGTTCTTGACCCTATAGTGCTCCTTTAAAGTTTTTTGAAGAATCTGCTGCTAATGTCTTGGTGCGAGTCCATGCATCAACGCATCAGAGCTGTTTTGGCAGCATGAAGGGAACCTATATAATAGTAGGCAGGTGGTATTAAATGTTGTGGCTGATCAGTGTATATCTAGTCTGTTTAGTATTGACGTTCAGCAATGCTAGTGTCCAGGTATCACCATATGAGCATAAGTCTCTAGAATAATTATGAAAAATAACAGAATACAACTAAAAAAGTCTTGAGCAATTTTTTTTTTTGTCATAATTGTTGAGGTTTTTTGAAAAAAATATTTTCTTCTTCCTCAGGATCTGTCTGCACTACCCGGAAGAAGACCGGAGTTGGTTACCCACAGCTGAGCGCTGTCATTGAATGTGCAGATGCAGCTCATGGACTAAATGGCCATATCATATCAGTCAGTACTAACAAATATACAGAATATATATGAATGTAGTGTCTATTGATTGATACAATGATAAGTAACAAACTTAAAATCAATAATATAAAATGTTCTGTATTAATACATTGGTGCAGAGTGTTAATTACAGAAAACATAGATTTTTTTTAACTTTGGCTTAAACATGTAATTTACACTTTTTGTGAATAACTGTATTATACTTTTGCTGAACTACAATTCTTTTGGATTATTTGCCTGCTATAACTATGACATGTATGATTGTTCGAATTGTCATTAACATTTAGACAGCCACAGGTTGCATATGCAGGTATGTGCATTTTAAGACGGAACTTTTGAGAGTAATTGTATGTGTATTTATTTATTTTTTTCAAAGGATGGTGGCTGCTGTTGCCCAGGGGATGTGGCAAAGGCTTTCGGTGAGTCATTCTAAGATACAGTAATTTTGTTCCCTCATTTTTTTCAATGCATAATGAATTTTAAGTTTCTTCAAAACTTTCAAACAAACTCCACTAATCTTATACAATCATAATATTAATGGCACTAACAAAAAAGGCTTTAACCCCTTAATGACACAATTTCTGGAATAAAAGGGAATCATGACGGAATATTTTCTTCATGTGTCCTTAAGGGGTTAAACATGGCACACACAAAAACAGGCCAAAATACTTTTCCAGTTCGATTTTCTGCAGTGGGCTATAGACATGAGTTCCAGATAAATATATGTTTAAATTCTGCCTGATTAATAAACACACATTCCTAATGCTATAGTGTTCTATTCCCTACTTAGATTCATGGCACCTGTAAATCTAGATAAACAAAAAAGCACTTCGCCTTTTTCCAATTCCATGACTCATTCTTTGCAGTCACCCATTCTGCTTCCTATGAACCTCTTCCCAGAGGCTATCTCCTCTTGTCTAATTTAATGCTTATCATAAAGAAGCACACGTATGCAAAATGAATACAATACTTCCCTATGATAAGTATTTAAGGACGTTCAAAATCCTTATGCAGGGGGGCGTGTCCGGCGGCCGAGGAAGATGGACGCTTAAAGCAGAAGCTCCTCGTGGCGCCCGCAATAAGCCGGCTATAACAGTGCATACCGCTCGACCACGCACAAAACATGGGTCGCACACGGAAGCCCACGGACTCCAGCAGCACCCCGAGGTCGTCAGGCAGGGAGGGGGAGCAATCCATCCGCTCCTACCTTCAAGCCACGGCCCGCCCGCGATCCCCACAACGGGAGACGGAGGAGGTAAGCCAGGGCATGGAGTCCTTCCCCTCCACACCGGCCAGACTGTCACCCACACCCTCATTCAGCTCAGAGCCACAATTAACTCAGGAGGGAGAGTGGAGGGCCATACTGCCAAATTTACTAACTAAAGCAGATTTTGAGGCCCTGTCAGACCGCCTGGGCAGGGTAGTGAGGGAGGAGGTGGCCCAGCTACGCGCAGACCTGTCCAACGTGGAGACCCGCATGTCAGTAGCGGAGTCAGAGACCAGAGCGCTCCGCACAGACCTGGAACACACCAACTCCACAGTCACCAGCCAGGAAGCAGACCTAGCCAGTCTTACCACGTGGGTAGACGACCTGGACAACCGCGGCCGCAGGCTGAACCTGCGCATCCGCGGAGTGAGGGAAGGTGACCCAGCGGAACACATACCCGACACCCTAAAGAGGCTGTTCGCTCAGGTACTGGGGGGCCAGCAAATACCCAGACTAGGCATAGTACGGGCACACAGGGCGCTGCGACCAATGCCGCCACCAGAAGAACAACCAAGAGATATCATATGCTGCCTAGAAAACTACCAATTGAAAGAAGACATCCTGCGCACGGCCCGACGCATGGGAACCATACGCTTCGAAAATCAAACCATATTGATTTATCAAGACCTATCTAGATACACTCTGCAAGCCAGAAGAGCGCTACGCCCAGTAACATCCGCCCTGCAACAGGCAGGAATACCATACCGCTGGGGTTACCCATTCTCACTCTCAGCTAGACACGGCCAGGATCAACATACGGTGAATAAACCAGGCGACCTCCCTGGTTTCCTTCGAGTCATGGGCATCCCACCGATCCACGTACAAGACTGGCTAGCAAGCTCATTTCTCCAATCACCGCCTGGACCGCAACAGCCGCGCAGACCAGACCAGGGCCCCCCAAGACTTCAGCAACAGCGACGCAGAGATTGGAACCCGGGCCCGGCACGACGGGAGCAGGAGAACTAACAGAGCACCACACTGAGAGGAGGGGCTGACAGTCCGGAGACCAACTTGCAGCAGGACACTAAGGGCAAACTGTGAGTACTATTTGGGGTGACACAAGACACTATAACAACCACACCGGCACACGATGGGGAGGGAGATGGTGGCAAGGGGGAACAGGAACGAAGTAAACACTGAAGGGACTGTCAACGGCAAGAGCTTCATGCGGAGGAACCTTCTTGCCCGCTTACAGGGCCATGGGGAGGACAAAACAGGACGTTTTGGGTGGGATACGGGATCCAGCTCTAGCTCCGGCATGACATAATCCAGACATGCGCACAGATAGTGCAACGTGGCGGTGTCACAACATGGGACACAATACTGGCCGGAAGACGCCAACAAAGACACAACACAACGAACGGAGGGAGGGTCATAAGGGGAAATGTCCACTGAAAAGAGGGAAGAAAGGGAGGAGGAAGGGAAGGGGGATCACACGCACACAGGGGGAAGGGGGGGGGGGAAAACACGCACCCAAACACGGTACCGTAACTCATGCATATGCGGGGAGGGGAGGGAAAGAGAGGGGCACAGCGCACAAACACGGACACAGAGGTGGGGGGGACGAACGAGAAAGAGACGAGTGGGCCAAGCCAATAGGAGGGTACTGGGAGCCAGGGGTAGACAGAAGGGGACCTGCGATAATAATTCATGGGCAAAATCCATTGGCACAATACCCGACAAAATTACTAGCAAGCAAACCACAGATACACGCTAAGCATAGACACCAAAGGAACCATAGGCAGAGTGGAAAGCACCCGAGATGAACCACCGGGAACCCAACATGAGAAAGGCCCAAGGAAACCCCACCCATCACACTAGCGCAGGGACGACATGCCACATACGACGTGCACCACACACACGTTGTCGTCAGGCAACCCACAGACACAACAGGTGACACCAAACAGAAACCTGAGATGGAGTAGGAATTAAAACAACTAGCCACGCTGGAACCACGGGAAATAGGAGAATACAGGGACTGACACCCAGACACGCTGGACCCACACCCACATCACGCCCATACAGTCGGTGGGACACAGGCAGAAAGATAGCGCCACCAGCCAAGTTACCCCACTAGAATGACACCACTCACAGGCCCGGATAATAGGGAGGCCCTGACCAGGAACTGCAACGGACACGCGCCCAGATAGGAACACACGTAGCGAGATCACATGTGAGATAAAAACATACACGAGCTAGGACACACCACTGCGGCAGACAGTAGCACGCATGCAACCCAAAAGATGACCCATACAAGCACAATACCGAAGAGAGGGAGCGGATGCTCCAATATCATAGCCACTAAGGAGACATGCGACCACACCCTACATACCGAACCAGGTATCACACCCCTCACCTACACAGCACGGACGGACGTCACAAGGCGGACCGGACACACCAGGGCATAAAGCCCGACACCCCAATAGGCATAGGACACAACTATCCCCACTCCAAAGGGGACGTACTACACCCGGCACCGACACAGGCACACCACTTGGTGGGACCTATAGGCCGAACAACCGGGACACCTGTCCATTACCCTACACGCCCTCAAAACAACCAACAGCAAGCGCCCACTAAGACGGAGCCAGAGCCCAAACAACAATAAGACAGCACTGAACCGCACACCTACACACACACCCACACCCAGACCCAGCCCGCCTCCGTTGCCCCTCCGGGCCGCTGCGAGGATGCAGGCACAAGGACCCAACGGCTTCGCAAGAGAAGACCTATGTGTAGTCTCCTACAATGTGCGAGGCCTAAATGTTAGGGAGAAGAGCACAAGACTGCTAAGGGACCTAAAACACTACAAAGCAACAATAGCGTTCATCCAAGAAACGCACTTCCAGGAGGGCAGAGCACCAGCCCTAAAAGACCGCAACTACCCAATAGGATACTTCAGCCACAACCAAGATAGACGCACACTGGGAGTCTGCATCCTCTTCTCACGACGAGTCCCTTACGAGGAGCAAGCCACCGTCCGATGCAAACAGGGCAGATATATTTTTACAAAGGGCAAAATAATGGACCAAACATACACGTTCGCCAACATATACGCCCCGAATACGAAACAACACCACTTCCTCCGAAGAGCACTAACCACGCTGATGAAATTCGCGGAAGGCACCCTGATCATAGGGGGGGACCTCAACCTGGCGATACACCCGGACCAAGACTCCACCTCGGCACACGGACACAGGTTGATCAACAGGCACGCCAACACGCTCCGCCTCCTCCACCTCCACCAGCTGGCAGACTGCTGGCGAGCACTACACCCAACTACACGAGATTATACTTTTTATTCTACGACACACTCGACGTATACAAGACTCGACTATTTCCTAGTACCTCACCGGGACCTAGCCCTGCTCACCGCGGCAGAAATCCTGCCAATGACCTGGTCAGACCACAGCCCAATCCGCATACGGATTAAGTCGCCACTATACAAACCCAGACAAATGTCGTGGCGACTGAACGAATCGATTCTCTCAGACGTCTCGGTCATAGACCAAGTCAATCACCACATACAGGATTACTTCACAGACAACGAGACAGATGACGTCACCCCACTGACATGCTGGGAAGCACACAAAACGGTCATCAGAGGCGGATTCATCGCGATATGCGCGACCCGCAAAAAGAAGGCGACACAGACGATACAAGCACTCAGTAAGGAAATCGGGGAACTGGAGGCTAGACACAAACGCACCATGGATTTGACGGTATATGAGGAACTCACGACTAAACGGAACCAACTCACCGCACACCTGAACCGCGCAATCCAACGCTCATACCAACACTACAAACATATGATCCATGAACACGGGGACAAGTGTGGGAGACTACTAGCGAACCTCCTGAGGCAAGGCCGCAACCAACTGTACATTCCAAAGATCAAAGATGCACACCAACAACTCAGACACCTGCCGGACCAGATCTCGACAGCGTTCCACGACTACTACCAGGATCTATATTGTCTCCGTGAAACGAATCAAGAACCTCAGAGGCCACAAAGAGCTGAGGACATACGCAGATACCTAGACGCGGCAAATATACCAGGAATAGAGGAGGTAGACCAAGAAGCCTTAGAGACCCCCATAACACCCGAGGAATTGGCATACGCCATCAAAAAAGCGAAAACGGGCAGGGCTCCAGGCCCAGACGGCCTGCCCCTACAATACTATAAAACATTCGCAACGGACCTACTACCAAAATTACTGAAAGCCCTGAACTCGATCCAAGACGGAGCCACACCAACAGCCCAATTCACCTCGGCGAACATCACCCTCCTCCCAAAGGAGGACAAAGACAAGACGCTGTGTCCAAGCTATCGACCGATATCCGTACTGAATACGGACCTCAAACTTCTGGCAAGCATACTGGCAGCACGTCTGGTGCCACTCCTGCCGACCATAATCCATTCAGATCAAACAGGTTTTATCCCAGGAAGGGAGGTGAAGGACAACACAATCAGAGCCTTAAACCTCATAGCACATGCAAGAGGGCAGAAGACCCCAGTTCTGCTCCTGTCCACAGACGCGGAGAAGGCGTTCGACAGGGTGGACTGGGGTCTGATGTTCGAAACACTCCGCCACCTGGGCATAGGCCCACACTACATGACCTGGGTACAGGCGCTCTACACGGACCCAACGGCCCGAATTCGGATCAATGACAGACCCATTCCAGATCCACAACGGAACCAGACAGGGCTGCCCGCTTTCACCCATACTCTTTGCGCTGACGCTGGAACCCTTCCTGAGCAGGATCCGACAGAACGCAGACGTACGAGGGCTGACAGTCGGAAACACGCACCACAAAACCCTGGCGTACGCAGATGACATGCTGTTCGTGGTTACTGACCCGGAAAAATCGTTACGAGCGATACAGACGGAATTCGACATATACGGCCGCATCTCGAACCTCCGAATCAACTACTCGAAATCGGAAATACTGAACATAAACATCAGCAACACACTCAAGCAAACAATTCAGAGACAACAACCCTACCGCTGGTGCGACCGCCGAATGAAATACCTAGGGGTCTGGCTCACACCAGATGCGGGAGACCTCTACACCCATAACTACCTCCCGATTCTGCAAAAGGCAAAGGAGGAACTACGTAGATGGGGTTCCTACTACATGTCATGGCTGGGCAGAGTGAACGCGGTGAAAATGACACTATTACCGAAGCTACTTTTCATATTCCAAACGGTACCGATAAGAGCCCCACAAACATTCTTCGCGACACTTAAAGCAGAAGTTCGCACTTTTATCTGAAAGGGCAAATCCCCGCGCATAGCGCATACCCAACTGATCCTGCCCAAGCTCAGGGGGGGCCTGGCACTTCCCGATTTTGAAAAGTACTACCACGCAGCACACATCGCCAGAATAATCTGCTGGTCGGTAGCCAGCGGCGCAAAACCATGGACACAACTAGAAGCGGACACAACCGGATGCGATCTCAGAACCCTACCATGGATCCCCAAGACAACATACGGGAGCAAACATATCACCAACCCGTTCGTGGTGGCAACCATGCAAATATGGCACGGACAAGGCACAAAACACTACCTGACAACGGACCCAAGCCCGCTCCTGCCCCTAAAGGGAAACCCAGATTTCCCAGCCGGGGAATATGGCCCCACACCAAGTCCGCCGGGACAGAGAGGGGTACACCGCATAAAAGATTTCCTCTGCCACCCGTTCGAAATCCGACCATTGGCAGAAATCTACCCAGGCAGACCACACACATTTGCCCACATCCTAGCACGAGCCCAAATCACCAAATACGCCAGATCCATCCCGCAACGACCGGCAATCACGAGGGAACCAACACAATTCGAGAACTTCTGCACACAGGACAAAGAACCACCACGAGCCATCTCACAAATATACACTATCCTGATAACAAGCAGATACCTCCTAGCACCACCGTGCATCAGAAAATGGGAAGAAGACTTGGAGGAGCAGATGACGGAAGCAGATTGGGATAAAAGCATGACCCTGATACAGAAAACACCGAGCTCGGCACGAACACAAGAAAACTCGTATAAGATATTTACCAGATGGTACCTGACACCGACAGCTCTTCACGCCAGAAACCCAGAAATCCCGGATACATGCTGGAGGTGTTGGGAGGAGACCGGAACGTTCACGCACATATGGTGGACATGCGCCCGCATCAGACCATTCTGGGACAGAATCCGGTCGATAATCCAGGAGGTCACAGATGAACACCTCCCACACTCCCCAGCCGCCTTCCTACTACACCACACAACTATGGCGACACCAACATATAAGAGATCGGTTATCCCCAGACTCCTAAACGCGGCTAAAGTGACTATCCCTATTTACTGGAAGCAAACCATCAACCATCCATAACAAAATGGATAGAGGAGGTGGAAGCCACAAGGATATTCGAGGACATGAAAGCAGAAACTCCGAACCTCAGAGACCACCACACCAAACGCTGGTTCCACTGGACGAGACTGAATACGTCAGACTCATTCAGACAGCACATAAACGCGCCATGAAAGTCGACGGGAAGACGAGGAAGAAAGCACTAAGAGAAGCGAATCAAAGAAGGCGAGATGCGGCGGACCGGACGGGCACGGGAGGCGGACTACCCCAACCATCCCACCCTAACCCGCACCCTGACAGCACCACATTAAGTCACCGACTGACGCTACCTGAGACGAACACTTTATGCACAGACAGGATAACAACCATGATTCATACACATGAACACCCACAATGACAAAATCGGGAACAAAGACGGTCAGGACAGTAACAACCGAACCTCCCCCCCTCATACACGGCAAGCCAAGTACACACGAAGACAAACACTAACCCAAACACAACCACATATACCCAAAGAACCTCGCTGTCAAACCAATAATCATACTCCGAACAAAATCGATGGGTACTCACTGAAACACGGATCTCCAGGCAAGCTACAACGCAATAAGATAGAGAGACATACCACAGTTAAAACACACGAACCATCGCAATGTACTGGATTACCCATAAACGCACCTCAGCACGCTAAACAGAATACTACACTGACTACAAAGACAAAAGCTACATGGGGCCAGTCACGCACGGCAATGAAACACTAAATCACACAGCGCAATAGACACGCAGACACGCAAGCAGACAGCAGCCACACGCACCAAAATATAGTAAGATATGACACACTATCAGATAAAAGCCCCACAAAGAGGACGCAAACAGGAAGTCAATAGACCAAACACCGCCAGCAGAAAAGCGAGATACAACTAGCACATGACCAGAGCAACCAGGGACCAGACACGACGGGGCCCGCAGACACAACCTACACAGGAAACACGCGATAAAAACACCCAGAACAAGACAAGCCCGAGTGAACGCAACACAGGCACACCATAAGTCATGCAGACAAACACAGCAAGCAAACAAATTGATACCTATATACTATATCAAGCAGGCAATAACCAAACCGCCTCTGCGTAGGCGACAAAAAGCACACAAATGTCTGTAGGGGAAACCAATACCTCCATACTCGCACTGTTGTTACCTGCAAATGCATTACGATAAAGGAGAAGATCAACACACTCAATAATACATGCAGACCCTAACAGACACAACAGAAAGCCGAAAACCCCTAACAGACACAAAACACACAGGGACCTGCCGAGCACAACATCTACATGATGAGGCCCAAACTGACATATTTTATATTAATACACGGCTGCCTAAAAACAAATATGCTCCTTATGTTTAAAGTTGGAAAAACTTCTGTATTTTTGATTATGGCCTAATGACCTCATCTAACGAGCAAGCAGATTAACCTGCCTCAGCACAGTCAACAATTGTGCACCTACTGACCAGTAAACACACAACAGCTAACACAAAACACATATCGCCCTAACCGAACTACAAAGGCTACACAGTACATAAAAGTATAGAGCACAAAGCAACTGACAGTAAATAAATGTTAATAATAATATAAAAAAAAAAAAAAAATTTTAAAGGGAAGGAAGAAGGGGAAAAGAAGAGAGGGAAAGAGAAAAGGAAAGGAAAAAGGAAAAGAAAAGAGAAGGAAAACAAGAATTTTTTTTTGTTTAAAAACATGTTAAGCTAAACAGGCTAAGATGGATCCGCCTCTGCGCAGGCAACCAAAAGTATATACTGTGTTGAACCAATGCTTAAGCCCCTGCGTGGGCAATCACTTGCTTTATTACAAATCAGTTTGACGTATGAACCTATGTTATGCATACAATAAAAATATTCAAAACAAGCCAAGACAGGACTAAGCCCAAGACTGAGAGCGACCTCGTGTCCCTCTGTTACTATATAGATGTACTAATACTAACGTCAGCATATAACTCTAGCCATATAAGGACAAGACCCCCGAATCCACATTCCAGAGCTCTCGGACAAAGAAAGCCTTGTGACTTATTGATACCATCTGTTACTTATGTCAATCCACACATCCATATATAATCAATAGAAACATAGAATATGCAATATTCTACATTCCCTCTGTTTATGGTTTGTTTTAAAACCATAACACAATGTAATTAACCTGTCCATTCATACATCACTTGTATCACATTCATTGAGCATAGAACAAGATGTAGTCACAATTTTCTATTATATGAGAGTTCTTAGAAGGTCGAGTTTCTATCCCTCATACTGCTTACTTTACTTCAAACTCCCTCTGTTTCAGCTATGTATTGATATCCATATCCATGTTACATCATAACTACTTGAACATAATATATACATATATATAACAATAATAAATGAATACAATATTTACAAATGTTGATCCAATAAACAATGTAAAGCAATGAGAAAGATCAACCTGCTCAGGTACTATCAAGTCTTTGTAGATAACAAAATCCAAGATCGTAACTTTCTAAATAATAACTGTGTATCACTATCATACTCCTACAGACACATATAGCATAGTATTTTCATTCTCAATACCTGATATTACTTAAGTACTAATACATGTATTACTATAATATCCTGTCCAATTATATTTCCATGAATCGTATGGTTTCTAGCAACCTTAAAATCTTTAGGTCATTTGTATTCATGAATTACATTCCTATACCATTAATACCATCTAGTGATGATTGTATCAGTACTTTACAATCATATTATTTAATTTGTATATTCAGTAGGCTCTCACTACCTAAAATATACCAAAACTACTTATAAGTCTCATTCAAAGGATGTGTTATCAACCATGAAGTTCTATAATAATTCTTCAAATAATGTTCATGGTGTTGACAATACTTATTGTTCTAGAAATTCTCCACCCAGAAATCTTTCTATCATAGATTTGATTTTGTTCACATAATTATAATTTTGACTAAAATTCCACCTTGTAGTAACAAACTTTTCATTCAATAGAAACATAGTTTACTTTAAAATAACTTGGAAAGAATACTTTAAATTCATTAGCATCACTCTCTTCACTAGCATTGTGATGACTTATTAATGTAATACATCTTAAAAGCAGGATTGTCCTAATGTTCTGACCAATCCATATTCCTTAGTACACTTCAACTGACTAAAATAAAATAAACAAAAATAAACTTGGGGTCATACTGCCCAGAAACTCTTATTCCTAGTCTGTGTCTTACAAACTCAGGGAAATCTTAACAACGTATTCATTGGATACCATCATATCCAGAAACCTATTCTCCCTAGTCCATACCTTTATAGACTTAGGTCAAATATAATTGTATACTATACTCTTTCAATTCAATTCCTCTTGGATCTCTGAACTCTTATATCCAAGGCCTTCTTAATGTATATAATTACTTAATATTAATCAATATAAATTATCCTTCCTTAGTTTTCTTCCTTTTATTACCATTGTTTGTTTTACTTCAACTATATAAACAAATTACTCATTATAGTTAATCTATGAGATACTATTGAACTCAATCTTTGTGGTATTAAGTAACCATGATCCTTATTTTATCAACTTCATATTTTATCTGCCTCTGATACTTCTCATTCTATGTATAGGTAATAATGTAATAGTTCTCTTCATAATACCATCCATTAATAATTTTACTCCATGTGTTATATCGCTATAAGTACTCTCTCTTGGTATTAATACTCATAACCGTTAAATAACTTTTCATTGTCTGTTTTCTTCTTCATTAATATTTAGGAATATATATGTATGTTAGTGTCAATCTTTTATTTCTTTGTAAGTCTGTTAATCTTCTGAATCGAATGAACTCTGTAGAATCTTCCATCACAGTTTGCCGATCAGATGAAAAGTCTCTTTCCAACAGTCGATGTCCAATTGTCTAAAGGAATGCTTTCCTGATTTATTGCCACAAGGATCTGTCACGCTTTACCTACATTAAAACAAATAACATGTGCAGCATCAATACAATGGCTTACAATGTTTATATCTCATTATTATTACACAGTTTAACATTGAATCATATTGACTACACAAAACATACTCATATCTTCTCATGAGATCTACCATCTAGTGGTCATTACATTTATGCCATGTGATGTATAATCTTTAAATTTCCTTTTATATTAAAATCTTTCTGAACATGTAAATTCTCAATTCTCAAACTTTTTATTACTCATACCTTATTAATCATACCCCCCTTTAAACTGTTTAATAATCTGGAGGTATAACCTAATCACATGTCAGATGTTACCACAAAATATTGTTTTCCACTATACTTTAGCTATAGCAGCCATCTTGTCTTAACTGGCACCATTTTGTCACATGAAACAAACTACAAAAACATATATTGTTTCCTACATCAAATGTATTTGTAAATCTAGGTTTTATCCTATCAAAACTTTTTATTTTTCAATGTAGTCAAAATATATGTATGTCCAGGCTTTGCAAAATATAGTAATCCATTATCAGTCATGACATTAAAATCTCATTCTCATGAATTAAATCAAAGATTTTAAATCAACCTCAGAAGTAACAACATTGTTTTTTCCTTCTGTAAAATGATTGGAGTTACTGTATAATCGCATACACCCAATATAACAAATTGCATGTTCCTAACTGCTACATTAGTGTATTTCATTCTGCCATATTTGCAAACTTGATGTAAATTTTTATTTCAATTAATTAACCTAATACATTCTTATAACACACATAAAACAATGAAAAACAGTACAGACTAACAATTCATTATAACAACAAACTAACATAGATCTCTATTCTTGTGTGATGTCCGTAATTTTGGAATCAGCCTGTGTACATCTGTTGGCAGACATATCCATGCTCATTCCCTAAATTGATCATATCTCTTGAAGTTATTTGATTCTTATAACTTTCTGTGTTACACTGCATTGCTTGTCTGTCTCTTAATTTCAATTTAGCTTAAATTGCTTTTATTTGTCTGATTATCAGTTTACAAGGAAAGGCTTTAATTGATTTATCTCCACATGCATTTTCTCTGTCAAAATTTTCAATCAACAAATTTAATTTCTCATTTGCTTTTGATTTGATATCTCGGATAAAATATCTGCAAGATCTTAAATAATGTTGTTTATTGCACCAAAAACAAATAACTTTAGGAGTTATATTCTGCATTTGATTTAAGCAAATTGGGAGTGGCTCAGCTGTCTATATCACTCTTTTACACTGAGTCCACGAAGAAGAAGAAGGAGGGGGACGAGGGCTGTAACATCTGCACTTATTTCTCTGCCTAAATCCACAAGTCATTTTAACCCCTTCATTCTTGGTTTCCCTCCTTAAGTTATCCAAGAACAAAGCTACTTCATTCAAAGTGCTTTTTTCTCTAGCTAACAATTGCAGTTGGATCTAGATCTTGAATTTTTTTCACAAATTCATTAATTAACTGATTCTCAGGAAAATTAGCAACAAGTCTATATGCACTTTCAAATTTTACAAGAAAACTAAATATATCCTCTCCTTTGTGTGGTTTTAGTTTTTCCAACATTTCAGTGTCTGCAAAATCATTCCCTGTTGTTAATTTTATTAATTGTGTTAATCTGTCTCGCTCATTCCCATGGACTATTTCACCATCTTCGTCATTAGGGGTACTAATGGGTGGAGTCAGTCTACGTGCAATGTACGTTGGCAGCCATATTTTAAACAATCTGTTCCTTTGTTCGTCATTTAGGCTATATTTGTCTAAATTAGACTCAAACATTTCAGCATTAGTAAATGCATCCACTGACGTGTCATAAACTGGAATACATTTCACAATTTTCATTAATTGTTCATGGATCTTCAAATTAAGTTTTGCAGTTCTGTCTTGAAATTTACATTTCTGCAAATTACTCTGTGAGGATACATTTTCAGTATCAGTTGGTTCTGGGATTAGATTCTGTGCCTGTATTTTTCTTGTATTAACACACACTAGTTTAGCTTCATTTCTAAACTGGCAAATAAGATCATTTCTTAGTTAAACTCTATCCTCTAATTCACAGACTTTTCCTGACAATGTTCTCTCTGTTACATTGTTACACTGTTCATTTAAATCTGATTTGTCTTCTGTTAACCCATTCAAATCTATTTCTTTATCTGCTGATTCTAAATTGTCTTGACCTGCATCTCGTTTACAAATCAATGCATTGTAAGTACAGACTAGTTTCATAACATTTCTGATCTTTTGTTTTTTCTTATTAACAAACAATTTCTTGGCAATTTCACATTGTGTGTATAAAGATTGCCACAATACAGCATCTGAATAGCTGCTATTACATGCAAACTGCAATTTACTTTTCTCTGCAATATCATTTATGAATTCCATGTTACTCACCAGATCAGTTATCTCTGTCTATTTCGTTGCTTCATCCACACAGCTGCGCAGTTCTTTGCTTGGATCTGGAAATTTGCCAATCTCTGCCACGTGCTTGCTTCTAGATTTCACGTTGTATCTTTTGCTTTTTGCCTCAGTTGTAGAAAATAGTCTTGTACAGTCTTTGTGATTTGAAAACTTTATTTTTCTTACAAACCACCGTTCTTCTATGTTAATCTAGATTCTTTTTTTTTTTCTTCACGTTTGTTTTCCCAGTTCCAAAAAAGCTTTGTAACTCGATTCTTCTCTCTCCCCCCTTGAAGTGGGAACAAAACTTGAATAGAAGACTGGTTGGCTAGCCAATGTAAAAAAATGTAGATGAGATTGGGTGTTCATGTTAATGTTGACTCTTCTTAATTTCTTCTTATCTTCAGTTGATTGATATATATACACGTCTTTTGTATATATAATCTTGGGCCAAATGCTCGCCACAATAATATATGTCAATATTATTGAAAAGTAGTAATACGCAATCTGACTTACGGTTTCTTCCGGTTTATTCTTTGTTACGGATACATAATAAAGCATAATAAATGATGTTACAGGATTATAGACATTCAACAGCAGATGGTAATTGCTGGACTTCTGATGGGAGAGTTACATCGTTGTACAGAGCCAAGACAGGACTAAGCCCAAGACTGAGAGCGACCTCGTGTCCCTCTGTTACTATATAGATGTACTAATACTAACGTCAGCATATAACTCTAGCCATATAAGGACAAGACCCCCGAATCCACATTCCAGAGCTCTCGGACAAAGAAAGCCTTGTGACTTATTGATACCATCTGTTACTTATGTCAATCCACACATCCATATATATAATCAATAGAAACATAGAATATGCAATATTCTACAGTTCGCCAGTACCATATGGGCCGGGTTAATGACCTGAGACCCCAAGCTGGTGGGAGTATTATTACCGGGTTGGGACTGAGAGGAGCCCACAATTTTGGTTGTGGGAGGCTCTGGTGTCACAACGGGAAAACTACGGGCTTCCAGTCTCTCCAGCCTATCATTATTCTACCCCATGGAGGACACTAGCGAAGCAATCATGGTATGAAGGTTGGCGTTGCTCGTGTCTTCTCCCGCGTCTGTATTGTCAGTATTGGCTTGCATCAGCCTAAACAGTTCTGCTTTCCTGGCAGTAGCTGGAAAGGGGATGCTGCGACTACGTAGTTCTGCCATGATGCGGGGGATAGTCCATGTTCTTATTGATGATGGGCTACAGGTGTCCCCCTTGCGTGTGGGGCTGGCGGTCCTGGCTGGAGTACTGGGGATTGAAATATCATCTCCGTCGTCTGGAACCTGGGACATAATGAAATATATAGGAATCATAAGCTTTAGCCTAAGGACGTATACTGGTATATTTGCTAGTGCCAAAGACATTCGTTAGATTGGTGACAAGCGAGACCCTACTAGTTGCCAAGTGGCTTGAGAGGCTCTACCTGCAGGGTGTTGGTCTCTCAGGGAATGTATTAATCAACTGGGGAGAGGTTGTGACAAGTGAGGCTTATGTGACTATGCAACAAGCGAGGCGGCTAGCTAGGTTGTGGCCCGTGGGGCGTATTACATCTTTCAAGGAGGATGGGTGTTGTACGTCTATATCTACGGCAGAGAGTGCCTGGGAAATTTGCCTAGATGGCCATACCCAATCGTCTATGGTTGGTTCCCTATACCTTTACTCTTGAGTGAAGACGCGGGAGCAACATTACTTTTGAACAATGTATGCTTGTGTAACAGAACCCCTGTTCTTGCCTGGACCACAGACTATAACATTGTATAACCCCCTGGATTTGTTACTTTGTTGCCAGTTTTATATTTGAAAACATACGAATGGGAAAACGAATGACACTACTAACCCATTCGTATGAACGAACAAACTACCGAACGAGAGACCACCCAGCCCAGTCGTGTGCCGCCAATTATCCCCTTGACTCTGTGCCAGACTGCAAACCGCAAGCATTCTAAGTGGTTCCGTGGGTGGCCATCGATTCGTATGCATGAACACGTGGCGATGGCCATCTTGTTTTGTCGAACGCATCCAGCGTTGTTTAGTCATCGAGTGTCGAACTATTTTCGGACAGTCAAACTCCCGAACACCGCTGAGACTTCCAGGACCACTTAACTTCACCCAGATTTATACGAACAAGGCTGCGTTCGGTAAAAGTACTGCACGAACACAGCGGCACACATAACGGATTCATGTGATTTTTGAATATGTGTGTCCCCCAATTCTGCTTGTTCCAAATATGTAATTTTTATTATAGTTTTGATGTTACAAAAATGGGAGTATATTTTTCACTTGGAGATAATTGAGCTGAAATAACAATTAACTCAATTATCTCCCAAGCAGAGAGGAGGAATGTACAGTAATTAATGGGTGTTTTTAAACTGTATAACTGTAAAGGATTGGCTGTTATGTTTGTGTCTGCAGTGCTCAACAAGGTCCATGTGGGTGGTAACCTTGTGAGAAAATGTGTATAAAAGAAATGCTTGTGTGGTCATTAAAACAGTTCTGCTTAACCCTAAATATGTAGCCTTGTCTCGTTATTGAAGGGTACCTGATTCCAGCTTAATCACTAGCTCTTTTAAGAGCTCTACTTCTCTCTCTCTACAAGGATCCAGCGAATGGGATATCGGGAATACTCTGAAGCACAGCCTCTTGCCGGGAAAAGGACGCCTCCAATGGCATACACCCCTCCAGCAACCAGGGTGGTTCTGCCCTGCGGTCGTCAGAGATCCTGCTAAGAAGGGAGGCCTAAACCAAGATGATGGACTACAGAATAGAGGATGGGGGAAAGTATGCGACACTGAAACCTGCAGAATATCCCCATAATCAATAGTGTTTAACTCGACTATGGTCTACCCACTATGGCGTGTCAACTTGTCCTAGTTTGGACCATGCAATCTATGACCTTTACGAGCCAAGCTTGGAGCCTTGAGTCTGTAGCAGATGTCAAAATAAAATTATAGTGGTTCTGTAACATTTTGAACCTTGCGTACATTTATGCTACTGCCCACTGAGTTGCAGTAATACACCTGCATAATGAAACGTATGCTTGTTACAATAATGCACGTACCAATGTTAGAAATACAACACTCTTGACCTCTATCTTGGGTCTCTTGAATCACAAAAGCCAACCTAGAGATCAAATTGGCAAATACTGAATTAACATATTCAGCTGGATGCCCCCCCTGGGGAAAATGCCCATCAGCTATGACGTAAGAACCTTGTAACTGTCACCTAATGCATGTACCAGATTTGAAAGAAAGAAACACTTCTTGAGCTCTGACTAGGTCTGTGAAACACGAAAGCAGACCTATGGATTAATATGACAAAATACTTGTAAATAGACAACCAAATGCAACCTGGAAGAAAAACAAACCTTCATACTGTCCAAAAGCACTAACAGTCTTCACAGAACATAAATTAAGATATGGCAATGACATTCTAACATACACGGAACAGTGATATGAGACTATGTGTAACAATGTCGGTGACAGGCCCGGACTGACCATCGGCCCTGCTGTGTGCCTCCGTGGGCCGGTGGGGAGATCAAAGATCTCCCTCACTGCCCACAGGCAGTGTTACAGGCGGCCGCCGGCTGGGGAGGGAGGAGAGAGGACCCGGCAGAGCTCTAACAAGCAGCTCCGCCGGTCCTCTCGTGGGATTCTGAGCATTGCAGGTTAGAGTTCACTCTCACCACTGGACCACCAGGGAAGGCAGCATGGCTCTCCACCCCCCAGGCATAACGGATCTCCTACCTCCCCCCCCCTTCCAGGATAAAGGTAAGAAGGGAGGGGGGGAAATAATTTTTTTTTATTAGTAAAAAAAATATAAATTTAAATAAAAAATACATTCACTCACACACACACAGCACCCCCCAGACACACACAGCACCCCCCAGACACACACACACCCCCAGACACAGCCCCCAGACACAGCACACCCCAGACACACACGGCGCCCCCAGACACACACACACACTGCACCCAGACACACACAGCACCCCCAGACACACACAGAACCCAGACACACACAGCACCCAGACACACAGCACACCTAGACACACACAGCGCACCCCCCAGACACAGCACCCAGACACACACAGCACCCTCACTCACACAAACAGAACACTCCCACACATATACATATATATATATATATATAAAATAACCCTCATTGAGTTAACAGACAAAGAAAATTAGAAACCTAGAATGTGACAGCAGATAAAAACACCCTCACACACACACACTGCGCCCCTCACACATAAAATAAGTCCAAATATATATATATATATATATATACACATACACACACACACACTACAGCACCCCTCACACTGCACCACTACACACATTACGCTCCAGATACACACTAGATCCCTTACCCTATATGCACTCTTAATCCTCTACACACACACACACACACACAGGGTCCTTTACACAGTAGATCTCCTACACACACACACACTACATTCCTTGTCAGCAAACACATACAACATTCTCTAAACACACCCTCTCTGCAACCCCTACACACACTACGTCACCTATACACACACACTTCAGCCCGTATGCACACACTCGCTGCATCCCCTATAAAACTATGCCCCCTATACACACACTCTCTACAGCCCCTAGCCACACATATTACACCACAAACACAAATTAAATTGACCTATTTATACAATACCACACCACACTCTACACACACGCAATCCCACAAGCAGGCTCCAAACATATGTACCATGCACTTTCCTGGCCCTTTTGTCCTCTGGTATCCCACTTGTGGAGACACCAGAGACAATTTAAAAGCAAACACATGTATGTACGTAGTGGGGAATCGCGATGCAGCCTAGAACAAATCTAGCCCCATTAAACCCCCCAATAACGACAGACAACTTAGTATGGATGAACAGGCCACAGCATTTATTATAACATAAATAAATTACTGCATAACACATCCATAACTTTTTATTAAATCTCTTCTTTCTGTAACGAAATAAATAATCATAAATTAACATATAAACATATTACTCAACACAGTGTTATGCAGTGACCCAACCGTCCTTGCCAATAAACATACAGTGGTTCCTAACCACCACTTCCTCTCACCTCCCCCCTCGTCATAAATCATCTCTTTCCAATGCCCGCCATCAGCCGACCTTATCCACGCTCGATGGGCACGACACCTCAGGCAACCTAATGTTAACCGTTTGAAGCAGGGGAGGTTGAGACCTGCAAACATAATGAACTTACTCCATCCTTAAACATAACCCTTCAAACTTAATTGGCAAGGACATACCCCTGCCACCAGACCCGTTGATTTACCCCTAAATCAGCGGGGAACCCCACCAAAACCCTCCATGGCCTGTTCCACCGCCTCCTGTAGGGCGAGATTAAAAAGGTCGAGCCCGACCTCCGTCAGGTGCACACCATCCCTTCGAAAAAATGCAGCCGCCTCACGCTCAAAAACCGTATGGCGGATAGGAATCCCCCGAACCCCCAAAACAAACTGGGAAACCCGCCTGTTAAACTTGCGCCTGCAGCGTTCCACGGCACTCTGGCTCCTAGCGCCACGCTAATAGTTACGGGCAATGACTTCTGACCAGATCAAGCGCACGTTGGGGAATAGGACTAGAATGCGGGCTAAGTCCCGCTTCACCACCGAAATCAAATCCCAGATGGGCACTGAACCCAAATCGTTCCCCCCTAAGTGGATCACCAGGACACTCGGTACCCCTAGTAGGTGAGAAAGCTGCACCAACTCAGGGAGGAGCCGAACCCACCGCATACCCCTCGCACCGAACCATCGAACCTCTGCTACGGAAGGCGTGAAACCCAACCGCTCGCCTCCAGGCCGCACCGACGCACGCTGCCTAGCCCAGTAAACATAAGAGTGCCCGATGATCCAAATCCTGGGGGGAACCGAAACTATGGAAAGAAATTACGACAGTAAACCCTCCGGCCGAACATAGGAAACAGAACGTCTTGATTCCCACCTACCAATCCTCTAAACCACCTGCACAGGCATGCCAAGCCTAGAGGCCTCAGTAGCCGCCCCAATACGGAACGAGTGGCCCCCGAACTCCTTGCCAACCAAACCCATGGCCTCCAGCCCCAAACGAAACACTCGAATAAACTGAAAATGCGACAGGAAACTCCCATCCCTATGTACCAGGAGAGGCAGTGCAGTAGCAGGCCGCAAGGCGCAATATTCCCCAAAGGACCACACAGGACAAATGCCAGAACCAGGCACGGCCCCCAACTGGACCCACTTACCCCTACCCAAAACATCCGTCTTAGAGTGGCGGATCCTGAACGAGATCCCATCCGCGGTGCACGTAACGTCCTCAAACAGCACACCCCCTACCTGCTGCCGATTGGGGCACACCAGCTCCCCAATCCGCATGGCACCAAAGAATGCCAGGGAAAAGGCCAGGCGAAAAAGCCGAACCTCGAAATCCGAATGGCAAACCCCATGCAGCGCCTCACACAACGAGGTTAAGAGCGTGCCCGAGACAGGATGCCTTGAATCCCGTGTAGACACCCTACCTCGCCTCAAACCCTTCAGCACCTGGCGTACAAGAAACGCCTTGGTAGCGTCCTCCCAACCCTGCAGCTTAAACAGGAAGCTAAGCCCCGCTAGGCGCGCCGAAATGGCCGAGGGAGACAGCCCAATGGCCTCCCACTCCCCCAAGAGAAGCACCAGACCCTGCAGACGAGTGACCGAATCCTGGAAGCCCCCTTTGGACCTCTCCCACCCGTCCCATTCCCTCCAAACCTTGTTATAGCGGTCCCATGTGGCAGCAGCAACCGACCTACGGACCAATTCCATTAATCTGTCAGGCCCAATGACCACATCTCTGTCGGACACGGGACACCCTCCAATTCGGCTTGCGGGGCCACTGCCCGAAACACGTCCCACTGTGAACGAGAGAGAGCATCGGCCATCACATTACGAACACCCGGTATGTGTACAGCCCTACAATACACATTCAGCTCCAGACAGCGCAAAACTAGGCACCGCAGCAAGCGAACCACGGGGGGGAGGAAGCCGACTGTTGGTTAATGGCCTGAACCACCCCCAAGTTATCGCAATGGAAAACCACCCGCCTGTCCCCCAGCAAGGAACCCCATACCTCCAACGCTACCAGAATAGGAAAGAGCTCCAGAAACGCCAAGTTCCGAGTGAGCCCCGCTGTGTGCCAGGACTCGGGCCACGAGTCAGCGCACCATTTGGAGCCCAGGACGGCCCCAAAACCGGCTGAGCCAGCCGCATCTGTAAACAGATGTAGGTCCGCATTAGAAACCTCCGGGGCCTGCCAGTACGACCTCCCATTATATGAGGCCAAAAAGGAATCCCAGACAGCCAAATCAGCCCGCAAGGGGCGCGTTAGCCGGATAAAGTGCTGCGGGCGAACGACCCCAGATGTCGCCGCCGCCAAGCGCCTGTTAAAGATACGTCCCATGGGCAAAATCCTGCAAGCGAAATTGAATTTTCCTAGCAGAGATTGCAGGCCACGCAGCTGGATTTTCCGCCGCCCTAGAGCCTGCGAAACCGCCAGGCGCAGGTCCAGGACCTTGTCCTGGGGTAACCGACATTCCCCGGCTACCGAATCGATTTCAATGCCCAGGAAACTAAGGCACGTGACCGGACCCACCGTCTTTTCATGAGCCAACGGAACACCAAAATGCTGAAACACCTCCCCGAGAACCCGCAACAAGAGGGCACAGACGTGCGACTCCGCCGGCCCTACGCACAAGAAGTCATCTAGGTAATGCAGAAGGGAAGAGACCCCCGCTTCCCTCCGCACCACCCAGTCTAAAAAAGTGCTAAAGCACTCAAAATAGAAACATGACAGAGAGCAACCCATAGGTAGGCACATATCCACGAAGAACTGGCCCTCAAAAGCACAGCCCAGTAAATGATGGCACTCAGGATGCACTGGAAGCAACCGAAAAGCAGATTCCACGTCCGCCTTCGCTAGCAGCGCCCCGGGGCCAGCAGCCCTCACCATGCGAACTGCAGCATCGAAAGAGGCGTAGGAAACCCTGCAAAGCTCCGTCGAGATGTCATCATTCACCGAACCCCCCCGGGGGTAAGACAAATGGTGAATTAGTCGAAACTTACCGGATTCCTTCTTAGGCACCACGCCCAAAGGAGAAACCCGCAAGTTAGGCATGGGTGGGATGGAAAACGGGCCGGCCATCCGGCCCAAGGAGACCTCCTTCCCCAGTTTTTCCCGAACCACATGAGGAAATTCCCGCACGGACCTGAGGTTCCGAACAGAGTGCTGTGGAGGGCGCTCCGAAAAGGGGATCCAGAAACCCTGCTCAAACCCTTCCACTAGGATCCGAGCTGCCGCCCGGTTCCTATAAAGGTCGAGCCACGGGCGCATCGCGTTTACGAGCACCGGTGTCGTCGCCCTTAGCCCCCATGTCCCCTTTTTCGCCCGTTTTCCCACGCTTGAAACAGCGAGAGGCGGGATGAGCCCCGCTGCAGCTGGAGCACTCGTGCTTAAACCGGCACGAGGACCCCCACTTGCAGTGACTGTCGTTGAACTTCCAACAACAGCCTGTCCTTTGATTGGGGGCCGATGGGGCAAAGGAGCCCCCACCGGCCCCCCCAAGAAAGGACGAAACCGCGCCCTGCTGAGGAGCTGGACGGGTCATAATTGCGAGCCAGAGACCAATGTCCATCTGGTCCCAAGACAACGAAGGACGCACCGCCAGCCGCTGGAACTGCTCGGTACCTCCACCACCCCAGCCCCCCATAGGTTCGACAGGCGTTCCAGATCGTGTCCTGATAACAGAACAACGCGGAACACTTCTGGGGAGCTTTCTCCCCCACCACGCTGGCTAGGATGGAGAATGCCCGAATCCAATTCCCAAACGTTTTGGGAATTTTCCGATAGCGGTATTTCTCCTTGTCTTTTTCAGACTCCTTACTGTCTTTCTCTGTCACGGGAGGAGCTTCCACCAGCGGCAGGAGAGAAAATATCTCGACGAACTCACCCTTCCAAATTTTTTCCCTTGTTTCCTGCTTTAAGTGCAGACCCAGAGGGCCAGACCAGCACATATAGGCTGCGCCACGCGCCACGTCTGCCACGCCCGCCTCAGGGGGAGCGTCACCCACGGGCGCACAAACATCAGCCTCCGTGGGTCCCAGGGGCAACGAACCACTACCCACTACTGAAAGGGGCCTGGGAGGAGGGGGAATCGGAACTGCGGGGGGAAACTGCACGGGGGACCAAACAGATCGCAGCTGCCTATCTACAGAGGTGTCCCCTTTTCCCGCCGCCCCCTGTTCCCATTGATCTAACAAACCTCGGAGACCTGAAAGAAACCCCCCCAACCCGAGACCCGAAGCGGCAATAGAGGAGGGAACATTGTACTCACCGGCAGCAGCGTGGCGATCCAAACCCTGCGCTGCATTCATGGAAGACTGAGGCACTGAAAATTGGGTTCCAGCATCCAGAGAAGAGACTAGCTGTGTTCCAGGCGCCACCTGCTGGCCGGATCCACGAACTGCAGCAGTATCCTGAGGAGAGAGCAGCGAAGAGGACGTGAGCCCATGCCCCAGAGGAGATGGCCGAGGTAAGTGACCTGCAGGGGGTGGAGGGGGCCCAGGCAAGGTAAGAGGGGGGGTGGAGAACAGAGGGGGCCCAGATAGAGTAGGGTAGCCACCAGGGGAGGGAGAGACAGACACAGGAGGGGGCAGGGAAGGAGGAAGAAGGGGGGGGACACCCACAGAAGAGAGAGGGGGAGGGAGGGGGGAAGAGGAGGCCAGAGAAACGTGAGGGGGACCCGGGGGCCTTCTCAGTGGGAAGTTGGGCCCCCCAGGGGACCCCCTCGCGGAACACACATGGGAGGGGGAGGGGACAGGAGAGGGAGAATACCGGGAGCCTTCCTCACTGTCAGAGGAGGCTCCCGACATACAAGGGGACCCCCCACGCACCCCCAGCGGCGGTACCACGGTACCCCGCGTGCCCCCACTCACCACCGGGGCCCCAGCGGCAGCCCCATGCCCCCGCCGGCCGCGGGGGGATCTGGAAAGTTGCCGGGCGGTCGCCCGCCGCCCGGATGCAGCTGCAGGCCTCCCACCGCCCCCGGACCGCGTCCCCATGCTGGCGGCCGGGGCGGGAGGCAGGGGAACCGGCCGGGCACGTGGAGCCCGCCGGGTAGGCCGCGCACCAGGCCGCAGGGCGCGCGGCAGATGAAGGCCTCACCTCAGGCCTTGAGGGGGCAGGCTGCACCGCACGTGCAGCCGCGGAAGGCCGCACATCCCGGCCACTGGACCCAGGCCGCGTGTCCGGAGCCCCAGACACGCGGTCCCGGCGATGCCTCGGGCCCGGGCTCCTGCTCCTCAACCGGGCCCAAGGGGTATTATCAGGAGAGAGCCTGGCAGGCGGACAGGAACGCCTGCCAGTGCTGGTGCGGCCCCCAGGGGCAGGGGCCGCATGGGAGGCAGCAGGGGAGACCGCAGGGGGTGCTCCAGGGGAGGGTAGGCCACGGGGGGGTGCCCACACCGGCAGCCATACCTCCACTTACGATCTGGAATTGCTCCCTTAGTTGCCGGCCACCATCCAGCGCAGCAGCAGCCCTGAGGGACGACAGGATCGCCTCGACATCCATCACCTCAAGCTGTGAAGACTAAAGGCCCAGGCAAACAGGAGCAGGAGGACAGGAAGCTGTGTGCTGGCCCAAATCTCAAGTGGCACTGAGGTAAGACCTCCCCCACGCTAACTTATATTGAACCTAACCCCTCCCACACACACTACCCAAGTCACTCCCTTGCATCTATCCCCACACTCCTACATGTGCCCTTGTCCGCTTAGCTGCGCTATCTCCCCAGGGTCTGTGCAAGCATGTTATTAAATTTGCTTGCGCTGCGCAGAACAAATTCAGGGACTTTTTCTAATGCCAGAGCTCTTCAGCAGGGCTCTGGGCATTGAACCAGCATGCTCACTTTGAGAGGGGGCATGTTGTCATTAGTGATGACAAAACACATACTCTTTGGCCCCGCCCCCTTCTTAGGGGGCCGCTCTGATTGAAAAATGCCCGGGCCTAATTTTTTTCCCAGTCCGGCCCTGCTCGGTGAGCTAGGTCTGGTGCCCAGACCCTGTGAGCCAGTTCACGTACCATCTATGGGATAAATTGGCAAATTATGTAATGGTTAGATACTAACCTTGATAGTGGTTATACCCAGGAACTTGAACCTATATGTATATATGTGTAGAAAGGCCATTAGGCCTGAATTTGTGGGAGGAGTAAGTCCCCTACTTAAACACCCAGCCCCTACTCACCTCTGATGTTCGAGTTCAAGTGTTCCTTGTTCTACTTCCGGTTCGCGAGTCTTCGCGTTTGCGTCATTTCCGGTCCGGGCGTCTCGTGTATCAGCTGCACGGCTGAATCCTCCGTGCTACCGGCGGTCCGGCAGAACCCTCACTGCTACCGGCGGTCCGGCAGAACCCTCACTGCTACCGGCGGTCTGGCAGAACACTCACTGCTACTGGCGGTCCTGGCAGAACACTCCGTGCTACCGGCGGTCCTGCTTCCTAATCGTGAGTCCTCTCATTCCGGTCCCCTCCACATCGCTCTGTGGTTCAGCAGGGGGCCGGAACACTAATGTCAGGGAAATCTTACCGGGGACCAACCACTCTCGCCTCACGCCAGCTTCTAGTCGGCCTCTTTCATACACCCGTCTGGGGGGTCCTACACCCCTCCCCTCATCCCTTCACGGTCTTAAAATCAGTTTAAAATGTTAATTGATGCTAGGGGTATATATTTAATTCCAAACTCATGCTGTTATAAGAGGCTAAGCTTTTTATTGTATGGGAAAAAGAAGGCTTGCCAGTTTTTCCATATTATGTATGATATAGGTATTACATAAACGTTCATTCATACTTTTCCATATATTTTGTGTATCAGTTCACAGACCTAGTTTATTGAGCTGACATCGCCACCTAGTGGTTTTTTATGGTACTTACTGTTTTATTCTGTATAATATGCAGCTTCCCTGCAATTAAATTACTATTTACACAATGTTATACCATGCCTTAAAACATGCAAATTAATCTCAGCCCTGATAAAAAAAAATAAAAAAAATAATAATAATCTCTTTGATCTCCACAGATCGCACTTTGCCATATATTACGGCTACATTGCAATTAAAAACCAGGGTTCTTATCCTTAAATCCAGGTTTTCCTTTCTACGATAGCACCAACCGTTTCGCTCATTCTATATTTCAAAACCCTGACTCTTGTCCTTTAATCCAGGTATAGTATTTATTTTACTTTATTTTCTGTTTGATGAAACTCAGGCAGCCAACAATTTACATTTGTCAACTCACTCTGCGCTCATACGTTACGCCACTCAGATTTACATCTGTCTCAAACCCTTAGGTTCTACTACGATTGCATCAACAACTTGCCCCATCTAAATTCGGAGAAAACCTTGCTATTTGTACCTTATCCAGGTATAGTTTTTTCTTTAATCTTCAGTACGTTACTTCAGTTTCCCAAGAAAAGGCCGCAGACAGCCTTCACGGTCCATTTTGCCACTCATTTACCCGTCCATGCCCCCCATTAACTCATATTGCGCCCATCCGCCACGCTCACTTAGATATACATCTGCCTCAAACCCCTTAGGCTTCTGCTACGACATCACCAGCCACTGGACCTCTCTCTCTTACACTTGAAGAAACAAGTCCACGGGTATAATCTCTATCAAGGTTAGTATCCTACCAGCACATAAAACGCCAATTTATCCCATAGTTGTTACGTGAACTGGCTCACAGGGTCTGAACGTCAGACCTAGCTCACCGAGGCATTTACAAACCATCTCCCAAACCTCAACACGGAGGTATGGCCCTACGCCCAAATCATAGTTAATCGCCTCATTTGCTCTTCTAAAGGGCCGTAGTCAGGGCCTCACTCGTCACGGCCACACGTTTGAACCTTTTAAAAGTCACAGAGAGGCCAACATCCCGCCATCACATCTGTGGCAACATAATCCACTTCGCCCAAATCATAGATAGAGCCTCTCACCGCCACTTGGCATTAGCAGGGCCTCAACAGTCACTAGTCAAGTTAAGTTTTTCGCTTTGGCATTAATCCTACAGCCCAGTTCACATAAGCAATTTCCCCCCCCCACCCCATGAAATAGTGTCTCAGACGCCCCTACTAAACCCAACTCATTTAATTCATTTCTAGAATGTCGCAAGACACATCTCCCATGGACGAAGTACCTGATGAGGATATAATATCAACTCCTATCAGACCAGAGTCCCCAGGAGTATCTCTCGCCCGTTCTACCCCTACGTCTTTGAGAGCATGGACTATACCTAAAATCACGGCCGAACTTAGGCTCAGGAGCATCCCCTTTCTGGCTACGGCCCGAAAGGCGAAATTATACAGACTGTTGACTAACCAAGCCCCAGAGCCTAGGCCAGGCACAAGCTCTCAAAGTCAAGCTTCTGGCGCTGGCATTGCCACCCAGGACACCCTTGCCACAATCCTGGCCAACCTGCAGACCTTAAACAGCAGGTTAAGCAAGGTGGAAAGTGCCATAGCCTCCCCAGGTAACCTTCCTGTTTCAATAGCCCCAATCCCGGCTGTACCTATGGCACCAACACCCGTCCCTACACTTCCCCCTCCAGCTCCTGCTCCAGTCATGTCACCTTTCGTGTCACCAGCTCACTCCGTCCCAGACTCCATTAGGAAGGAAATCCTAGATGGGAAGGATGTGTGTCTGGTGTCATAACTTATTGTCTCCCAAGACGTACTGGAGAACAGGGCTTATTTTGGCGATATCTCGGTGGTTCTTAAAACCAGAGACCCAAGGCTCAACAAAAAGTTGTCAATTCCCAATTTCGTGTTGGCCTTCGGGATATACCGGGATGTCATCTGCTCGGTATATCCCCACAGGAGAGAGGAACTGGACCTCTACCTCCATAAAGTGGTGGATTTGGGCGTTAAGTACGGGGGCTCATCGTTTTACGATTATCATAAATCAATATCAGCGAAAGCGGCGACCCATCTGAAACAGTTTAATGCAAGAATTAACTGGTGTCAGATGGATACAGAACTATTCTGTCGCCACTTCGCTGGTCTGAGGCCCCCGTCTTGCGCCATATGCAATTCCTCAACCCACTTGGCTGATTAGTGCCCTTCTATGGCTGACCCATCCACCCCCACTCCCACCCCTCAATCCTCTTCCACTCCTCACCCTAAACAGGAAGGCGGACAGAGGGATAAGCTAGGGAGGCCCATCTCCTTTTTGGGGAAGGCGCAGGTGTGCAACAACTTCAATGCAGGTTCCTGCAGCTTCAGCGCTTGTAGATTGTTGCACATCTGCTCCATCTGTTTCAGGGCACACACTAAGACCATGTGTCCGGCCAGGTTGTCCCCTAACAAATGACTAACCGACGTTAATATCGACAACCTGGCCTTTTACCTTAACCCCTTAAGGACACATGACATGTGTGACATGTCATGATTCCCTTTTATTCCAGAAGTTAGGTCCTTAAGGGGTTAAAGATCACCCAAGTAAACATCTGGTGGAGTATCTTATAACAGGGTTTACCCAGGATTTTCACACGGGTCTCGTGACTATCCCCTCAGGGATACTGGAATGCCCTAATCTCCTATCAGCCTGTCTAGACCCGGAGGCCACGGACGTTCTCCTCTCCACAGAAATAACTCAAGGGTTCATGATCGGCCCCTTCACCTCCTCACCGTTTTCCTCCTGGCGCACTAACCCTATCGGTATAGCTGTACACAAATATTCAAATAAAAAACGTATGATTATTGATTTATCGGTACCGCACTCCTCTTTTGTTCCTAGCATAACGCACTCATCCCCGCAGACGAATTCTCACTACAATACGTTAAAAATAGACGACGCCATATTATCCATCATATCAACTGGCAGCAACGCTCGGCTTAGCAAAACAGACATTACCAACGCTTTCAAACTACTGCCCATACACCCATCACTTTGGCACTTGCACGGTGTTAAATGGCGAAACAGGTACTATTTTTCCACCCGCCTCACTTTCGGTTCCAGAAGCAGCCCCAAACTCTTTGATATTTTCGCGGAAACGCTATGCTGGCTGCTTCTGAACATTATTAGGTGTCACGCCGTCATTCACTACTTGGATGACTTCCTCATCATAGAACCTAGCACACGCACACTCACCGATATCCTCAGCACCTCTGCACTTTTCTCCACCCTCGGGGTATCTTTGTCTCCCGCTAAAACAATTGGCCCCACCACTAAACTCACTTTCTTGGGCATAGAGCTAGACTCTGCTACCTTCCGCGCCAGCCTTCCCACTGAAAAACTCATCCGCCTGAGAGGGGAAATAGACATGTTCCTATGGAGCAATGTATGCACTAGGAAAGAACTTAAGTCATTATTGGGGTCCCTGAATTTCGCAATGCGCATCGTTCCGCAGGGCAGATCTTTTGTGTCCAGGCTCCTTTGTCTGCTTCACGGGTTACCGGACGCCTGCCCAATTGCGTTGGACCAGCACGCCAAAGCTGACCTAATCATGTGGGGGCAGTTTTTGTCCCTATGGAACGGTATCTCCATGTTTATTCCCCCCCTCTCAGACTCCTCTCCCTGCATTTACACTGACGCTGCAGCCAACACGGATTTTGCAGCTATATTTGGTAATCACTGGTTTAGGGGTCACTGGCCAGCTGAGACGGATGCCTTGCCGGGGTTTAGAGAAACTTCAGCTCTATTTGAGATTTACCCCACTGTGGCAGCCGCACACACTTGGGGTCACCTCTGGTCCGGCAAGGCAGTAAAGTGTTATTCCGACAGCTCATCAGCTTGCGATATCATCAACAAAGGGCGCTCATCCTCTCTTACCATTATGCGGCTGATTCGCAAGCTGACCTGGTTGGCAGCAACCGTCCAGTTCCACCTAATTTGCCTTCACATCCCGGGAATTCACAACACGGCTGCTGACGCTCTGTCTCGATTTCAATTTCAGGTGTTTTTCCAGGCACTCCCGTCAGCCCATCACCAACCACCCAGAACACCGAATTTTCACGAGCTAATCTTGGATTAAATACACTTATGCACCACGCTAGGACACTTACGCACCAAGCACTATCACCAAACACTACTATCACCTACAGTAGGGCACTCACCATTTTCAACAAATTTACTGCCGAATTCGGATTACAAGGTGATTTCTCAACCCAAACTATGGTGGCTTTTGCCTCTTTTTGCCATTTACATTTAAAACTTTCCCACAACACCATTAAATTATACCTCACAGGGCTGCAGCACCACAGCCTCACTAATTTCCCTAACAACACCCCCTTTTTATCATCATACCCTATAAAGAAAATCTTAAAGGGAATCTCTAAAGTATCGGTTCCACCTATCACCACCAGACTACCTATAGATGGACCTATCTTTAGATTACTGAGCAACCTCCTCGATGAATCCCCTTTTGATCCCAACACTAACCTGGTGATCAAATCTGCAATCTATTTGGCTTTTTATGGGTTCCTAAGACCTAGGGAATTTACTGTCGTTTGTCAAGGGGATACCACTCACAGCCTCAAAATCTCACAACTCACAAAAATAGACTACTACTACATTCTCACAATACCTTCTACCAAAACAAATCAGTCCCTACACCTCCCTATCATTCCTCTCTTTCCTACAGACAATGCTTGGTGTCCAGTTAAGACACTAGACATATTACGGTCAGCTTATAGCACACACCTACCAGACTCACCACTATTACAACTACAAGGGCACCCACTCACTACAGCAAAATTCACCACACACGTTAGAACCTTACTGGAAAAATTGGGTTACAACCCAACTTCATTCTCCGGGCATTCCTTTCATATAGGAGCAGCTTCATCAGCTTCTAGTACTAACACACCGGTCCACATCATGAAGAGACTGGGCCGCTGGAAGTCCTCTATATACAATACGTATATTCCATGGCCAGAAAGAGAACTTCGCCAAGCCTTCAGGAATTTAGTTATGTAATCAAATGCAATAAAGTGTGTTTTTTCGAACTTCTCTTTGCCCTCTTATTTACAGGCCCACTCGGACGTTGGTTTCGGCACACCACAACCAACTTTTATCTCGGACATTATCCATTACACATTAAATTCCGAGCACAATTTATATATTTATGTAAGGGGCAAATAGCCGTATATGGAGTAAGGTTCCAGCATAAACGTAGGATAGTATAAAGGAAGCAAGTCGGTTGTGGGGTGCCGAGACCGACGATACGGTAGGCCTGTAAATAAAGAGGGCTCACCAAGGAGTAAGAAAGTAAAGTAAATGGAAAGAAAAGAGAAAGTGTTGAAATGAGGAGTGGGTGGGAGGGTCATTCTGATGCTGACCTCAAGCGATATGGAGTCAGGTAAGGGGTGTCCCTTATATAGGGGAGTTAATTAATTTAAGCCACTCCCACAAATACAGGCCACAAGGGCTTAATACTTGTGTAAGGGGCAAATATCCGTTTATGGAGTAAGGTTCCAGCATAAGCGTAGGATAGTATAAGGGAGCAAGTCGGTTGTGGTGTGCCGAGACTGATGATACGGTAGGCCTGTAAATAAAGAGGGCAAAAATTAATAATCAAAGATTTAATACAGTCAACAAATATATACAAATTAACCAGACATTTCCTTAAATGCATTACGGTATTTAATTCCTGGAAGGATTTTGAAGGTAGGAATCTAGGACCGCAACTGGACACCATGATGAGTGGCGTTTGTTGACATGTGCTTAGTTGTCTGAGTAACAACTGATTGATGACCCTGACCATGATTTACCCCATGCCACAGCAGCTGCTACAATGGGGTAGATACCCCAAAAGGGGCTGAGGTGGTGGAAAAAATTCCAAACCTGGATGCCATGGCCAACAGCTCCAAAGCAATCGTTCCCGGTAGATCGCTGCCAAACCCGTGTGTCAGGCCGTATCTGTTCTGGCGTTTCCGGTATGTGGAGCCGGCCCAGCCCCCTTTATGACGTGGCTCTCTTACGCTATATAGAGAGACTGCGCCAGATTCAAACCGCTTGGTGATTCTCTGACCTACTTCCGCATTCAAACGCCAGCTAAGCTCTTCGTTCACAAAGTTACCAAATCTTTGACTATTATAAAAGATTTTGCCTTCTCTGTACCTCTGACCACGGATTGTATTGGAGTCTCCTGAAAACCGGACTGTGTATATCATTCATCTCTTGGATTCAAGCTATACATTCCCATGGAGGACAACTCCCATCAATCTTAAGTATACTAATTACCCTAATCTCTGAAGACTTACTTACTAATGAACTGTTTCTTGCTTGCTATAATCTTCAGTTACTTCCTAATGCATTGTTACTTGCATGCTATAATCCTCAGTTACTAAAATATTATTGCATTCATTAAGACTTCGCTTTCTTCACTAACTGCCTGCATCCACCACTTTGCTTTAAAGCTACAGTACCCTTAATAATTCTCTGCTTTCTTGCTATTGTAATTAAGGAGTTCTACAAGCTGCAGTTGAGTTCCAATTCTAAAACCCCTTGTAGCATAACACCATGGTAGACAATCCTGGAAGGAACATGCTTTTACCATGCCATGTGGTTAAGAAATTCCCCCCCATTTGCAGGTCTGCTGTGGCGTCTAGGGACATCCTCTGATTGTCATGTTGGAGGTGTGGAAAAAAGGGGAAAGGACTCTGGGTGTAAAAGCGTGGTCTTGTGGTATGATATGCATGGCAAAATTAAGGTACCTGGTAGGGATTGTAGTTCCTTGCGGTTGTAAGTACTAAGCAGGAGGTAGTGATGATGTAGTTGAGAATGTTCCCTATTTGTCTTGTGGTAACTTGCATGTATGGATGCCGACTCAAGTTGTATGCCCAGTAATGTGATGATAGTGTCTGGGCCTTCTGTTTCTCATGGGGTACTGGGACGCCCAAGTGGTCAACCAGACTAAGCTGCCGTGAGGCTTCTAGTGAAAAATATGTTGTCTTTGATCAACAAGAAGTCTTCTAGATAGTGTATGACTGTAAAGCCTCTGGATATGTTATCATAACCAGCACAGAGTATCTGCAAATATCGATAGTAGGCTAATCTGTAGCCCGAAAGTTGAGCGGGGAAAGGATTGCCCATTTTATGCCATGTAAGTTTCAGTGTGTAGTGTAGATTGTAGCCGTTTACTGCGTTGATGATATTGGTCTTACTTAACCAAGCTTCAACCCATGCTTGAGTGATAGCTGTAAAGGTAGATCAATGGTGTTGTATAGTAAGGAAACTCCTCGGAGGGTATAAGGGAGTTGAGACTTGGGGTAGCGAAGGTGTGTGGTGCCAGTAAGTCTATGGTTAGTCTTTGTTTAAGGGAAGATTCCCTTGTGACAATACCAATGTGTTGGTGTTTGGAGCCATGCTGTAAATGGTGGAGATTGGAAAACCCAAGTAAAAACCTCTCTGCAAATCTTGGCTATGAGTGTGTTTACAGCCTATGGTTCTGTTGTGCTGACTGTAAGTGAGGGCATGCTATATTCCTTGAAGGTGTGTTTATGATACCTGTATGGGAGCCCTTTGAAGCTCCAGAGCTTTAGTAAATCTACTACAAGTCTGGAAGGTGATGAGTCAGTAGTGTTGAAAATGCATTGGTGTGTACAGATGGTGAGTACCTTTTTTGTAAGTTGTATTGGGACACATGGTCATGTGCCCTGAACCATTTGAACATATATGCAACAGTCTACATGCAATGCAACTACTCATACCAATTGTCTCTGGTAGTTCAGAGGTGCTGGTACCAGGAGCCTGAGAGTGCTCGTCTGTTTGTTTGGGACAAAATCCCTTCTCTATGGGTACCTGCACAAATAAACATCTCTACATATTCCAAATGCCAACACAACTAAGGGATGGTCAGTTCCAGTTTACCTGGAATCCCTGGATCTGACCATCACAGATACCATCACAGATACATCACACATATATATGCCTTGTTTCCCCAATGTGCTGGGATCATATGTGCAGGGTTAACGTCTTGTGTGTCATAAGAATTGATTGTACCAGGTAACCGAGTTTCGGTTGGTGCTGGTTGTACAGTAGCGTGAGGCCCAGCCTTGTAAGGGCTGTGGTGACCGACTCGAGATTGCCAGTCTGTCGTAAATTTTTGGGCTCATGAGTGAGGCTAGCATGGCCTGGGTGTCACCTGAGTTGGTGTTGCTGGACCCCTGCCTCCCTGTTGTCCGTTGATGTATGGAGGAGTTTGAATAACTCTGCTTTCCTTGCTGTGGCAGGGTAGGGGATTTGTCGCCTCCTTAGGTCGGTGGTAATGTGTGGGAATGTCCAGGATCTGATTGCTGCTGGACTAGCAACATCTCCTCTGCTTGAAGGTGTTTCAATTCTAGCCTGGGTGCTAGGAAGAGGTGATTCTTCACCATCTTTTTGAGAAATACTTAAATAACAATAAAGATTGCAATTATTATTTGTAAACAGGGGTCTTGTACTGGCTTGCTAGCTAAGCCACGAGGCGAAACGATTAGGCTTGATGTTTTTTGGTGACTGGTGAGGCCCTGCTAGTTGTCAAGTGGCTTGAGAGGCTCTATCTATGCTTGGCGCGAGGGGATTTTGTGTGGCCACCGAACGTTGTGGCAGGATGTTGGCCTCTCGGTGACAGTAACCAGAAAATAGGAAGGGGAGTGAAAGGTGATACAATGCGAGGCGGCTAGCTCATGAGTGGCCCGAGGGGTGTATGCATCAGAGTGTGAGGCGGGGTGTTGGCTTCGCGGGACCACTAACCGAAGCGTAATACAGAGAAAAAAGGGGGCAACACCTATTGGGCCCTAGAACCCTAATTGCCAGTACGCTATTACTATTCCAGGGAAGGTAAGAGATGGATAACTACGTGAGCAGGTGTATGTACCTGGCAGTATGGTATTGAACCTGACAATCCGTATAGGTTTTTTTAGTAGTAACTGAATGGATAAAACCGTTATGGCATAAGGAAATATGGCATAGACCAAGCTTATCTTAATACGTACAGTATATGTGAAAAGTAAAGTGACGTGATGTGTAAATATTTAACATCGTAGCCATACTGGTTAAATATGTATCAATCTTGGGGGGCAGGGCCTGACTGCAGAGATGAGAGGAAGCAAACCTCAACAGCTCCTGCTGCAAGCACCGATTAAAGTGAACTTTTATTGCCCAAACGACAATTTATTGAATTGAGACAGTCACCAAACAAAAGGCGACAACCAGCAGCACGAATTGATACCACTTACAAGCCGTTTGGAGCAACATTTGCCTGATAGGAGTCTGAGGCCTACAAGCATGGCGAGAGCAGGGGAGACGGCCGCTCTTCTGCCGCCACGACTGATTGAGCTTCTGTACCAGGGTCCCCGTCCCCCCCCCTATGGACCGGCGGGGGTCATCCCGGTCTACCCCCAAAACGTGAGCACTCACCCACAACTTAAATCAGGTCGCAACCCTGACTGGCGGGAGACAAGAGGACTCACTAAGATGGCTGACGGCACAAGCACCCACTGACTGGGCCGCAGCCTTCCAGACGAGGTTCGACGCCATATGCAGGCAATTCTGGGACCGTCTGGAGGATCAACACCAGCTGCCAACACCACCACGGGCCAGCGGAGGGACCAAGGCACCCGCAGCATGGGAGCCAGCCAGAACTCCATATCCAGACCGGCGCAAGACCAAGGCGCAGCCGGAGGGGCCCCAACCGGGCAAAGCTACAGCTAAGCCAACGAAAAACAAGAATGACAGCCCACCTGGGATGAGAGTCATAAGGAGTAAGACCCCCACAAGCCACACACACCTGCGGAAGACAGCAAAGCATCCACGGAAGCGTCGAAGTGCTGCCCTACGCAGCCCCACAACGGGGAAGGACCAGGCCCCAAAACGGCGACGGGTCCGTGAAATGGTGGTACCGGCTCTCACAGAGAGTCTCGGGGCTGGAAGGGTGCACCACCTGGAATACACAGAGAAGCCCGTGTGAATGCAGAGGGCCCCGCGGCGTGGATGGGTGGGCTCACTGACATCCACCCCACACCTGTACTCACAGCCTCCAGACAGGGCATCGGATGATCTATTACCCAGCAGCTCCCAGGGACTATGTGGCAACGCAAAGCTGAGGCGTTGGCTGACCGTGCAAATTGTTCCCCAGCACGGTACCCATGCCATCCGCTAGGACATGCAACAACAGCTCAACCCGTCTGTACCCAGACAAACAAAGCTGTTGACTATGTGCTTAAACTTTGTTTTTGGTTTTTCTTTTTTATGTTTTTAGTTGCCTGCCTATGCCAATACATGCTATATTACAAGAGAGGCGTTATATGACTCCAGCTAGCATGTTATACGATTCCAGCCAGCATGTTACACAACCCCAGGCAGCAATAGAGAGCCTAGCATAGCCTATACAACTACACACTAGCTCCACTGAACTCGCTCAGGCTAACAAACAAATCAGTGAGTCAGGTGTTAAACCTGCTAATAGCTTGTTTTTATCTATCTACATAACCTGTGACGGCGTACCTAACCTGTTATTATACTCCTAGCAAGCATGTTATGTGATTAAATCAGCGTCCGCAAGTCTAGCATGATCTACACATATGTGAATGATTCCTGCTATCATATTTTGAATTTTTCTGCATGTTTAACTACTTACTATAAAATCGTACACACAGGCCACAGACTGTTTTGCCGCTCGAATACCGGAATCATTGACAGTTTGATTGACCTATCTTAGAACAGTTAACTGTATAGCATTATCCAGACTAGTCATACTGCCAGATCATACGCAACATTAAGTTGCATCAGTTACTCTTATAATTCCCACTACATTATGCATACTGATGTTACTGCTTGTCACTCTGGTGACTTGGGCTTGTACTATGCTGTTGTGGCATCGTCAGCTTTTATGTTATCTCGTGCACAAATAAAATAAAGATTTAAAAAAATAATAAAAATGTATCAATCTTAACCCATTAAGTGCCGTATGCACAAGTGAAAAAGAGGTCTGTCCCCACCTTGTATGTTGTATGTCCCCTTGCTAGGGGAAAGTCTGTTGTGCGAGCAGCGTGCTGTGAAAAATGCATATGAACTGTATTACCAGTTACGTATATGCGTCTGCTACGGTGTAATAATATGTGTATTTATACCAGATGTTGATATACTAATTGCTATGTGAATTGTTGTATGTCTTATTGAATGGTAGGGGTCAGTGAACATGGTGTTGGAAAAATGCAAGTGCACTGGAGATCTGCCGAGTGCCCTATAGGTGGCAGTGTAGTTGATACTGATTGGTATGTGAAATGTTGTTTGTCTATTGACCTATAGGGGTCAGTGTTTTGGTGTTTGTAAAACCCCATGAAAATTGTCAATGTACTTGACAGACCTGTAGGTGGCAGTGTTGATAGAACAACTGTTGGTCTTGATGTGAAATGTAAATTATTGTGAATTAAACCTGAAGTTGAGCTTCATAAATTATGTTTAAAACAATCTTATGTGTAATTTATATTGGCTGGTAAATTGTATATGACATGTGAAGAAAGTTTTGCTGTTGACCAGTAAGTTTTGCTGATTGTATGGTAAAAATACCCTTTAACCCCTTAAGGACCAAACTTCTGGAATAAAAGGGAATCATGACATGTCACACATGTCATGTGTCCTTAAGGGGTTAATCCAAATGCAAGGTTAACATGAGATTTTGAGAATGACCTGTAGGGGTCAGTGTGGTTTATGTGAAACATTGTTCGTGAGCTATGCCCCAGCATTATAGTTGTATTACAGGGAAACGAACAGTGCCCGTTTGACAATATACAATATGTGAACATAATAGCTTAATAACAGTCATTGTAACAAACCAAAGTTCTGTTCGTGGGTTGTAAACGCAGGAAACGTGTGTAGTACAATAGTAAATGCATGAACAATTTGGTAGAAAATTGCACGAACCGTGAGCCTGGTTTGTCAGGGAAACAAAACGAAACGAGCAGTGAGATTCAAAATGCTCGCACAGAATTGCCTAGTATGTTTAGGCAATTGAAACAGAATGTGTTCCCGTTCGGGAGTATGCTAATGCTCGAAATGAGCCAGTGACAGATATAAACAAGTGAGTTTAAACGAATGATATGCATGAACATGCAATGGTTTTAAAACAGACAGACAAAATGCAGCCGTAAAGTGAGGACCTGACTCCTGCATGGTGCCGTGGGACTGATGCCTGGCGTAACGGGTAGGTCGACTTACGGTTTGTGAGTCACTTGGACGCCATCCACAGCGATGAATTGAAGAAAGAAGGTGGTAGGCCGGAAAAGCCTGTGGCTGGATTCCTGACACAGCTCAGCTTAGAAAACCTCATGGTGTAATCAGGTAAAATGGTGTCTGGATGACCCGGAAGTGGAAATCATTCTGATGCTGACCTCAAGCGATATGGAGTCAGGTAAGGGGTGTCTCTTATATAGGGGAGTGAATTAATTTAAGCCCCTCCTACAAATATAGGCCAAACGGCCTTAACACATGAAAAAAAATATTTCTAAAATACAAATAAAAACGATAACTTTGGCCAGCGTTAGTGTGACTAAGTGGCTACTACAAAAGACTGGACATACCCCATTTTGAATACAGTGGGTTAACTACTTTTACAAGTGGTATACCACGATGGGGTTAATTTTCATTCCTGGGTTGCTATACGGTCTGAAAGGCAACATAGGCCCAGCAAACCAATCCTGCAAATTTCAATGTGCAAACATGGAAAAGCCCTATATTTGACCCCTGAAGGTTTGCAAAAACCCATAAAACCTGTACATTGGGGGCACTGTTGTACTCGGGAGATGCTGAAAACATATTGGGGTGTTCTTTGTCAGTAACACATAGCAGGAACTGAGAATCCATGCCTAAAGTACAATGTGAGAGAAAGATAACACAAATAAATGACTACCCAAAAGGTTGACAAAGACTGGTGGTAGAATTAGCGCATGGAAAGTGTTAAAATACCACCATTTGAAATACACTACGGTGTCTACTTTTCAAAATAATATGGTTTGATGGGGTAAATTACATTGTTCGGCTTCAAATGTCCCAAATATGACATGGGTGCATGATGACCTGCTAATAAAATTCCAAGTTGGCAAACTGGAATACGCACTCTCCAAATACGGTCTTTTAGCCCTCAGAGAATCCGAACCACCTATACATGGGGGGTATCACTGTACTCAGTAGCTGTTGCTGAATACATATTGGGGTGCTTTTTGGCAGTAACCCTTAAAGTTCTCCATACACGTATTTTTAAATTGCTATGTATATATAAAAAAAATCACCAATTTTATGGTTGCAAGAAAAGAGTCAAGATACCCCGGGTTTCATACCTTAGGTTGTCTTCTTTTAAAAAAAGATATACATGTGAAGGGTTATTCAGGGATTCCTGACAGATTTCGGTGTTACAATACAACTTCATTTTGAAAGAAAAAAAAAATGGTTTGGAAATAGCAAAGCGCTACTTGTACTTATTGCCCTATAACTTTCCAAAACAAGCTAAGAACATGTTAACATTGCTCATTTCTAAACTCAGGCCAAAATTTAGAAAGTATTTAGCATGGGTGTTTTTTGGCGAAAAAGATTTTGGGGATCAAAGTTAAAAAAAAAGTGTGTTTTTTAAAAAAAATTTTCATCATATTTTATAATTTTTTATAGTAAATTATATGATATGATGAAAATAATGGTATCTTTAGAAAGACCATTTAATGGCGAGAAAAACTGTATATAATATGTACAGGTACAGTAAATGAGTAAGAAGAAAATTACAGCTAAACACAAACACCGCAGAAATGTAAAAAGAGCCCTGGTCATTAACGGTAAAAAATTTGAAAACCGGTCTGGTCACTTAGGGGTTAATAAATTGATACCGCTGATAACTGGGCGGCCCAGAGGGTCAGTTAGAACCTTATGGATCTTGGGCAGAAAATAAAAAAACTGGCACTTTACAAAAAGGATTAAAAATAAAATGAAATTCACCTTTGTTTATTACTCCACCATCTAGACCTGTCATTAATAGTTTCCTCTGTTCCTGCAAAAACGTGAAAGTAGGATTTTTGTCCAAAATGTTATTGGTATTGTAAGCTTCTTTCATACAATAGGACTTGTTCATAATAACTATACCAACTCCCTTATCCACCTCTAATCACTAAATCATTATTGTCAGTTACGTTTTTAGAACGTTTCTCTCCTTTCTTTTGATAGATTTGGTTTAAAATTGGTATCTCCTACTTTTTCTAAATCATAGTGGACTAACTCATTAAAAATACCGAAGTATTTCCTCTTAGAAAAACAATGAAGAAGAAAAAAAAAAGATTTTTGTTTCAAATTGTTTTTTTTCCTGCCATAGTGTCATTACTTAAAGGTTTCAATATGCTTACTTTTGTCTTTATTCTCAAAAAGTCTCTTAAAGGTTAATTTTTTTTATGGTTATATTTTTATTATTTGTATTGTGAACTCTTTCATGATAATTAAGGAAGCCTTTGTGAGACAAACATTTCCCACATTCAGAACATGAAAATGGTTTCTCTCCTGTGTGAATGCGGAGATGTGACTTAAGAGTTGACATTTGAGTGAAACATTTCCCACACTCAGAGCAGGAGAAGGGTTTCTTTACAGGACGAATCCATACATGGGCAATAAGCTCTGTATATGTACAAAACGTTTTCCTACACTCAGAGCAAGAGGAAAGGTTTCTCTCCACTATGTATCCGTTCATGGACAATAAGATTTGTTTTTCTAGTGAAACATTTCCCACACTCAGAGCAGGAGAAAGGTTTCTCTCCACTATGAGTCCGTTTATGGGAAACAAGAGTTGATTTATGACGGAAACATTTCCCACACTCAGAGCAGGAGAAAGGTTTCTCTCCACTATGAATCTGTTTATGGGCAACAAGATTTGATTTATCACTGAAACATTTCCCACACTCGGAGCAGGAGAAAGGTTTCTCTCCACTATGAATCCGTTTATGGGCAATAAGCTTGGATTTTTCACAGAAACATTTCCCACACTCCGAGCAGGAGAAAGGTTTCTCTCCACTATGAATCCGTTCATGGGCAACAAGAGTTGATTTAAGAGTGAAACATTTCCCACATTCAGAACATGAAAATGGCTTAATTCCGGTGTGAATCCTGAGATGTGCATTAAAGTTGTTTTTTTGAGTGAAACATTTCCCACACTCAGAGCAGGAGAAAAGTTTCTCTCCACTATGAATCCGTTCATGGGCAACAAGGGTTGATTTAAGAGTGAAACATTTCCCACATTCAGAACATGAAAATGGCTTAATTCCTGTGTGAACACTGAGATGTGCATTCAAGTTGTATCTTTGAGTGAAACATTTCCCGCATTCAGAACATGAAAATTCTTTTTCTCCTGTGTGGCTCCTAAAATGAAGCTTAAGAGCGGTAACGGTTTGAAAGCATTTCTCACATTCAGAACAAGAATGTTTTTGCTTTTCTCCACTGTGGATGAAATGACATTTGGGAAGAGATTTGGTCTGAATATGTTTTTCAAGTTCAATACGGGAACGTGCTTTAGATCCTTGGCGAGTATTGCAAAATCCAATAATGTGTGATTTTGATTGAAAGCACCGATGTCCCATGAAGTTTGTTTTACAGGTGAATGTTTCTCCACATTCAGAACAAGTCACTTTCTTCCCTTTACGGAATCTCTGATATTTTATTTGATTTAAATTTGTGAGTGAAACTTTTGTACCATCATAGTTATTGGCATCTACTTTGTATTGTCTCACAGGCTCACAAGCAGAGGTTTGAATGTCCAGATTACCAAGATTTCCTTCTTCACATGAGACTGGATCCTCCGTAATAGGAGTATATGGACATTCTGTCTGCGTAGGCTCTGTGGAAGTATAAATTTCAGTTTCTGTGAGATTCCTTTCTTCACATGGGACTAGATCTTCCTCAATATAAGTAGATGGATATTCTGAAGGTTCTGTGGGTGTAATAATGCCAGTGTCTGTGAGATTTCCTTTTTTACACGAAGCTGAATCCTCCGTGATAGACGTATATGGATATTCACATAAAGCCAATTCCTCCTTAATATGTGTAGATGGACATGGTGTCAGCTCTGAGGGTCTATATATGTCAGTTTCTGTGAGATTTCCTTCTTCACATGAGACTGGATCTTCCTTAATACGAGTAGATGGATATTCTGTCTGTTCTGTGAGTGTATACATGGCAGTGTGTGTGAGATTCTCTTCTTCACATGAGGTTGGTTCCTCCTTAATATGAGTAGATGGATATTCCGTGTTTACTGTGGATTTTGTTTGGGAACATTCTTTCAGTGAGTAAATCTCTCCATCTGGTAGTTTTCTTTCTTCATATAAAGCGGTTTCAGATTTCACAGATTCACTTGGTCTCTTACTTAATTCATTAAATGTCACAGAATTTCCTCCCTGATCATCTGCGACTTCACCTTCAGTCACACAATTTGCTGACAGAACATGGATGGGTAAATCATCCGTTTCACTTGTGTTTAGAGAGCCATCTGCTGGAAAGAAAAGAAATAGAATTACAAACCTTCCTTTTACCTCTCTCACATTGTCAGTACTGTAAATACACTACAAGGTAAATGATCCAGGATGTGATGGTAAAATATTGGTGTTTCAATGTAACTGGGTAAATATATTCACAATCAGAATTTTATCTACAGTCTATGACAGGTGTAGTCACCCTTCCGCACTCCAGATGTTATGGACTACATCTCCCAAAATGATCTTACAGCTATAATGCTTTACTTTGTCTGAGATGAATAACTAACAATACAAGAAAACAAAACAAGTGACTATATTTTGTTTAAATCTGAGGATATGTCCGTAGTGTCAAGACACATGAAGAGTAAGATGCATCGTTAATCACTGTGCCCTTTTGAGTCAAATAACGTATCTATGTCTATAAATCTCTCACCACGGGTTTCTTTAATAGGGTTTCCGATGGATACAATCTATCTTCACTCACCATGGGTCAGTGTTTATTACTTGATATAAATTTTGTAACAGTGCTCTGTGTAAAAAAGACGTTTAATAGTATGTGTCAGTCCAAAATGAATAGGCCGCTACAACACTATTGTGGGTATCACCCCCCCTCAATAAGGCACGCAGAACAAAAAATAAAAAGATACAGCTCCAGCCTCTAATGCGGAACACTACACAAATATGTAAATACAACAAATAGGAAATGTGAGAAAATAGTCCCCAAGAAAAAAGGAACACGGAGACTAAATCTCAAACAGTTACCTCCACTAGTAATTTCATTCTTCCTTGTAGTACTAGAATTAAAAACTGATATAGTCTTTATTAGCTTAAAGTAGACCACATCAGACATGCATAGATAAATAAGGTAAATATGTGGGCGGGGCCTGACACTCAAGGCGGCCGGACAAGCTTTGTAGTAGCTCCGGCTCTCTCACTATTTTAGGGCTTGATCGCTTCTGAGTGACGCAGAAATCACCTTACCTCGCCAGCAGACTGACAGTATACTTACCGGTACCGTTTGCTGTACAAATCAACAAGGTCCGATGGGCTATTATCTCGACTCTGATCTGCGACCTACAGTGCCCGGGGACTGGGGGAAGCAGACGATCTCCCGGTCAGTACAATTGGCAAAAGCTTCTCAATAGCCCCGTTCCCCCCCCCGGTGAGGGATATCCCGACCCCCGCTGGAGTGCAGACCTGCTTGCAGTCATACCATCAAACGGGGCCCGCAAAGCTAATACCCTACCACATGCACACCAAGATGGCCGCCAGAAAGAGGCCTGCCACGGAACAACCACTCGCAACAGGGGCAAAGAATGAGGAACGTCTGGCCAAAACCTTCGGGAGAATCTGGATGAAATTCTGGCACTCAATCGAACTTCGAGCAGCAACTCGTCCTGTTAAAGCAGGGGCCCAGACTGGCCCAACAAGAGACCAAGTGAAGGCATGGCCTGCTGAGAGAAGCCTAGCAGTCTTGGAGCTGACATTGCAGAAGAGGAGGAAGCTTCTGGGAAAGGCATATGCCCGCCAAGAGCCCGATCCCGAGGCGGCCCGTCATTGTCCTAGATTGTAGCCTAAAAAGTGGCATCCCCTTAAACGCTGCCTACCTGCTCTGAAGACTGACTCCTATCCTGATGGAAAGCATTCTAGCAGAGGATTCCAAGCGAAGGGTTGGATCACAGTCACTGGCTGAACCTGTGAGTTTGCAACACTAGACTATGCAGGAGCAAGGGTCTGGTGGGGAACCGCGCTATGGGACTCTAGTTTCTACTCACTTTGGGGCAGATATTGTGGGCATGGGCTAAATCAGTATCATCTCCCTATTATCTGTGGTCCAAAGGGCATTGGCTGAACCACTTTACTATGAGGGAGCGTTACTTACCTCGACATGTTTCATATATGCCTCTATACATTTTATATTCTTTTCCATTCTCTGACTGACCTAATAGAATATTGAATTTACTTATCTACTATTTGCATAATGCATGATTATTACTCGTTTCATATAATTATCAAAAATAGAAAAGAAAAAGGGCAGCTCAACTTGACATAACACTGTTGTAACCATATGTCCTTTATCCTTATGCAAACATATAATTTGCCAATGCCTACTCGTGTACAAGCTAATGCACATCAAAGATAAAGAATGTCAAAATAAATAAATAAGGTAAATAAAAAAAATCCCTCTATACTATTTACTATGTTTTTATGTAGTTGTTCACTTTGTATACAATATATGGGGGTGGGAGGGGAGGAGTGACCACTAAAGGGGGTGGGGGAAGAGGAGAGACCACTAAAGGGGGGAGAGAGGAGAGACCACTCAAAGGAGGGGAGAGAGACCACTAAAGGGGGCTTAAAGCACTCAGTTGGGGGAAGACCACTAAAGTGGGGGAGCGGGAGAGAACCACTATGGGGGAGAGAACCACTAAGGGGGCGGAAGAAGAGACCACTGAGGGGGGGGGAGACCACAAGGGGGGTAGGAGATACCACTAAGGGACAAAGGGCAGGGAAGAGCTCTAAGGACAGAGGGGACAGCTCTAAAGGAGGGGAGGAAAGAGAACACTAAGGGACAGAGGTGTAGGGGAAAACACGAAGGGACAGTGGGGCAGGGGAGTTCACAGGGTGACAAGGGAGAGAACTAATAGACAGAAGGGGATGGGAGAGCACTAAGGGTGTATGTATATCTGTGAGTGTCTGTGTATCTGTGAGTGTCAGTGTGTATAATTGCCATGTTTAATTGCCGTGTTGGCACATTGAGGAAAAAAAGTTGGTTTGTATTGCAGTTTGGCCATTCAGGCTCAAAAATGTTCGCCATCACTGTAATAGACCCATATAAAAGATTCTTAATAAAATAATTAGGAGATTTAAAATAGACTTTATGAAATCGTACTTTACTGCCCTTAAATAATATGGACACCGTAGAACAAGTAAGGGCAAGCTGTTCATATGAAGAAGCCGGAAATTACGTTGCGATACTAGCGCGGTGGAAGGGAAAACCCGGAAGGAGACACCACGAGATTAACGGAGGACGCCACTCTGGGGCTATATAAGCAGAAGATGCAGAGGAGTTTCTAGCACATGAAAAAGATATTTTTGAGGTCGAAACACGTCTGCTTAGAGACTATTTGGTACAAGGTTTGAGATGGCCAGCGGTGAACTTTTTTTTATACATTTCAAGATATAATCCTTTTTAAATTTATCGCTACATTGCATACTTTGGCTTATCTTCCTGTCCATAAGTAATGTTTTCTATGTAATATTATACTTTTGTTATATATATTGTTTCAGTAAATTCATTGTTATACATTGGATAACCTCTAGAACAGCTGTTATTCCGTATAGCCTGTATAGGCAGCCTTTGGGCTTGATATACAGAGCCTGGTCCGGCTCTGCATTGTGTATTCATCTATATCATAAGGAATCTTGCTGATTAGGTCTTTTTAAGTATATATTTGTAGGGTGATCCACTGTGGTGTGTTATTGGTGCTTTTATTATTAATCGATATATGTCTGAGTGTTGGGGGACACTTTGTACCTTAATCAAACATTAGCTATCCTTAGAATTGCCTAGACATTTTCCTTGTGTTTTTCCAAAAGATGTGTTAGCCACAACTCCTTTCACTGCTGCTTATTAAGTTCTCCAAATATTATTTTCGTTCTCCAAATATCTTTTCTTTTTAGTCCAAGTTCTTTGGAATGCTATTTTTGTGAGAATTTTCAGAATTGGGGGAACATTGCTGCCGGCATTGAGAACCTGGAGCACGTTTACTGCCATGGTGGAATGAGTTGTTTGTTTCCCACTGCTTTTGGGACATTTCGTATACTCATTCTCAACCCATTTTTGGAGACATGGACTAAAACATTGCACGCCTGGAACTCGTTGCCAGATCAGATTATAGCCATAATGCGGTAAAACATGCTGTAATTTGGGTGTGTGTTCTCCTATCAGGGCGCTAGTTGGACTAACTTTCCAGAGATATATATTGTGAGGGACAATGGTCCATAGAAAAGGGGTTCTGGCTGATGTTTTGTATGCTATGCAGTTTGGACTGTGAGGGCACCAGAGGGAGACGATTGTGTTAGCTGGGGATAATGTAATTAAATCCACAGACGGAGGGGTGCCGGGGATGGAAAACTGTACTGTGCATTGCTTTGTATGGATGTACCCCTACAGGGAAAGTCAGCACTGTTCTGTATAAATAGCTGTGTACTGTGCATTGCTTTGTATAGATATCCCACTGCAGGGAAAGTCAGCACTGTTCTGTATAAATAGCTGTGTACTGTGCATTGCTTTGTATGGATGTCCCCCAGCAGGGAAAGTCAGCACTGTTCTGTATAAATAGCTGTGTACTGTGCATTGCTTTGTATGGATGCTGCCCTGCAGGGAAAGTCAGCACTGTTCTGTATAAATAGCTGTGTACTGTGCATTGCTTTGTATGGATGTACCCCTACAGGGAAAGTCAGCACTGTTCTGAATAAATAGCTGTGTACTGTGCATTGCTTTGTATGGATGTCCCCTGCAGGGAAAGTCAGCACTGTTCTGTATAAATAGCTGTGTACTGTGCATTGCTTTGTATGGATGTCCCCTACAGGGAAAGTCAGCACTGTTCTGTATAAATAGCTGTGTACTGTGCATTGCTTTGTATGGATGTCCCCCTGCAGGGAAAGTCAGCACTGTTCTGTATAAATAGCTGTGTACTGTGCATTGCTTTGTATGGATGCCCCCCGCAGGGAAAGTCAGCACTGTTCTGTATAAATAGCTGTGTACTGTGCATTGCTTTGTATGGATGCCCCTGCAGGGAAAGTCAGCACTGTTCTGTATAAATAGCTGTGTACTGTGCATTGCTTTGTATGGATGTCCCCTGCAGGGAAAGTCAGCACTGTTCTGTATAAATAGCTGTGTACTGTGCATTGCTTTGTATTGATGTCCCCTGCAGGGAAAGTCAGCACTGTTCTGTATAAATAGCTGTGTACTGTGCATTGCTTTGTATGGATGTCCCCCTGCAGGGAAAGTCAGCACTGTTCTGTATAAATAGCTGTGTACTGTGCATTGCTTTGTATGGATGTCCCCCTGCAGGGAAAGTCAGCACTGTTCTGTATAAATAGCTGTGTACTGTGCATTGCTTTGTATGGATGTCCCCCTGCAGGGAAAGTCAGCACTGTTCTGTATAAATAGCTGTGTACTGTGCATTGCTTTGTATGGATGTCCCCTGCAGGGAAAGTCAGCACTGTTCTGTATAAATAGCTGTGTACTGTGCATTGCTTTGTATGGATGTCCCCCTGCAGGGAAAGTCAGCACTGTTCTGTATAAATAGCTGTGTACTGTGCATTGCTTTGTATGGATGTCCCCCTGCAGGGAAAGTCAGCACTGTTCTGTATAAATAGCTGTGTACTGTGCATTGCTTTGTATGGATGTCCCCTGCAGGGAAAGTCAGCACTGTTCTGTATAAATAGCTGTGTACTGTGCATTGCTTTGTATGGATGTCCCCTGCAGGGAAAGTCAGCACTGTTCTGTATAAATAGCTGTGTACTGTGCATTGCTTTGTATGGATGTCCCCTGCAGGGAAAGTCAGCACTGTTCTGTATAAATAGCTGTGTACTGTGCATTGCTTTGTATTGATGTCCCCTGCAGGGAAAGTCAGCACTGTTCTGTATAAATAGCTGTGTACTGTGCATTGCTTTGTATGGATGTCCCCTGCAGGGAAAGTCAGCACTGTTCTGTATAAATAGCTGTGTACTGTGCATTGCTTTGTATGGATGTCCCCTGCAGGGAAAGTCAGCACTGTTCTGTATAAATAGCTGTGTACTGTGCATTGCTTTGTATGGATGTCCCCTGCAGGGAAAGTCAGCACTGTTCTGTATAAATAGCTGTGTGCTGTGCATTGCTTTGTATGGATGTCCCCCTGCAGGGAAAGTGAGCACTGTTCTGTATAAACACCTGTGTGCTGTGCATTAAAATAATTCTACCCCCTGCATTCCCATTTGTCTAATGTATTGTGGAAAAGCTGTAGTCTCTGCTTTACAAGGGAGAAGGTCTGATCTATAATCATTGCAGCCTGGTTCGATGGAAGAGGCCCTCAGAGACCCCAGTCAAGCATCAGCAACTGGTTCTAAAGAGCTCCTGAGCGCGAATAGCAGCTAGGAAGTTGAACTGGTGGCGTACAGAAGCTCTGTCACATTTAGTTTTAGAGGTGGGATGGCTACCTAAGTATTGTGCAAACATCCAAACTACCACCCCTGCACATCGTCTGGAACTTAAGGAGAGGGACAAAGCTAGCACCAATGCAGTGTTGATAATGAGGGGGGAGGGACCTACTGTCCTACCCCCCCTCCGGCCCCCACCCCTGGGCGGCGGATGGGGGCCATAAAGATAATGAGGGGGGAAACCTACTGTCCACCCCCCTCCGGCCCCCACCCGGGTAGGTCCCCCCCCACCCATTATCATTATGACCCCAACCCGCCGTCCAGGGGTGGGGGCCCGGAGGGGGGGGGTGGGCAGTAGGTCCCCCCCCCCATTATCATTATGACCCCCACCCACCGCGCAGGGGTGGAGGCCAATATTTTTTTCCTTTTTACAGTGAGCAGCCACAGGTATAGCGAGTAGGGGCATATTATTTACTAATACTAAGTAACCTTTACTTAGTATTAGTAAATGTGGCTGAAAGATCACTTTAGGTCTTTCAGCCTTTTAGTAGATAGCTCCCTGATACTGTGGGAATTAGAGAGTTATCTACTAAGCGGCTGCAAGATGCAGCCACAGCAGGAATAGGATAGGAGTTTCATTCATTCGAATGAAATTGCGATCCGAATAAAGTGCCGAATTGCGTTCTAAAACAAACGAACATACTGTTCTCATTCAGTTAGAACGCAATTCGGCAGTTTCGTGTAAAGAGACAGGAAGCATCGCGGGAATACAAAGGAAAAGTGAGAATTGTGGGAAAATTGCTCTGACCAGCGGAAATGAAGCACACTTTGCTCCTCCGCTGGTCAGAAATGGTCAAGCGTAGGAATCCCCCATAAGGCAAAGAGTCCCTACTCTAAGAAAACTAAAGAAGACAGGAAGAAAAGAAGAACAGATCCTGAGAGAGGGGGAGAAGAGGAAGAGATTGAGAAAAGGTAAGTTCGGCATGACAGTGCAGCTTTAATTTAAACATTCTGAACATTTTCAAGCTAGGAAACTGACCTGGTGGAGGTACTCAGTCGGGAAAACGAGAGCAACGTCACATACATGCAATCAGGCTCCGATTTAAAATCAATAATACAAAAATACAACAAACTGACACTGTACATTGATCTCACGCTATACTGGGGTTTGATTACAATACTGACCTCATACTGGACACTTGAAGCTAGGGATTCAATTACATATATAGTAATAACACAAGCTGTGTATATTAAAAGTGCTTCCTCTTACCCAGTGAGCAGAGAGGCTGGTTAGTGTCCATCATTAAGTCATTGTAAGGTTCCTTGTGTCCTTCTAAATACTTCCACACCTACAAGGAAAAGTAACAGTGACATCCTCACACCTAACAGGATCCTGGCACACAATGATGCAGTCACCACCCAGACACATCCTCACACCTAACAGGAACCTGACACACACAATGATACAGTCACCATCCAGACACATCCTCACACCTAACAGGAACCTGGCACACACAATGATACAGTCACCATCCAGTCACATCCTCACACCTAACAGGAACCTGGCACGCACAATGATGCAGTCACTATCCAGACACATCCTCACACCTAACAGGAACCTGGCACACACAATGATACAGTCACCATCCAGACACATCCTCACACCTAACAGGAACCTGGCACGCACAATGATAGTCACCATCCAGACACATCCTCACACCTAACAGGAACCTGACACACACAATGATACAGTCACCATCCAGACACATCCTCACACCTAACAGGAACCTGGCACACACCTTGATACAGTCACCATCCAGACACATCCTCACACCTAACAGGAACCTGGCACACACAATGATACAGTCACCATCCAGACACATCCTCACACCTAACAGGAACCTGGCAGACACAATGATACATCCCTTGGTTTTACTCTATGGTGTCCCATTCCCAGCAGCCTCACCTCTCCAGTCAGCAGGTGGATGATCTGATTGGTCAGTTTCAGGACCTTCTGGTCATTGTTTCTCTCATGTATCAGTGAGTGAGGTAGAGGCACCGTGCTGGGGCTCTGGGTCCTGCTGGATCCATCTGACGCACGAGGGATTCTGCCCTGTATTATGGACTCACCAGATCTCTTCATAACAATGTAATCCTATATAGAGAGAGGCATTCTAATCAATATTAATGTACTTAGGGAAGCACCTAATAAAAATACACATCTCTCAGTAAAGGATATCTATGACTTTCATATTCCATCTGTCTATAAAGGACAATATGCAAATGAAGTATCCCAGCGACTATCTTACAAAGCCGGTCACTACATAGGCTACATAGATCATATACACACGGTAAAAGGGTTGGCCTTTTCAATTCAAATAAATTCTGTTTTGTCTCGGTGCCCCAACAACACTATTCCATAATCCTTTGTCTCTTGAAGTGCCAGCTGCCTTTTTCCATATCCTTCTGCACACTGAGCTCTCTGTGCAGTCTGGTTCACAATGACCCATTCACTATCCGCCTCTGCCCTTCCTGACGAACTCAATGTCACTCAGTCCTAGTCCTATGTATGTTAGATGAAAACAATGACTGACAGAAACACATCCTCATGGTGTAACCGTGTGTGGTTCCCCTATTTACCACTATAATGTCTTAAAGCATAGAACTTAGTAGGGCTAACCATACAGATATCTTAGCCATAATTTTATATAGTGTAAGAGATCCTCTATTTAACATATATAAATAATTGAGAATACAATATAAAATAAGGATTGTCTTGGAAGCAAGATTGTCTTTTTGGATATTTATTATATAAAAATATAAATATAAAATCCATTATAGCAGAGTTTATAAGATTAAATTACATGCTTGCAAATATCATTAATAGGTTAGCATACCCTTCTGAACATGTCATCATGTCAGCCTCTCTGTCATTTTAAGATGGAGCAGCGTCTGTCTCCAAGTCTCTCCCCTGTTTCTTAACATTTAAAAGTACACCTATTTATACCTTAGGTGTCTCAATTTTAGGGTTACCGTAGTTCAAATTTGAAAAAGTAACACATCTTTTACTCTATTCAATTTAGATCCTCCCTTAATTTGGCAAACATACAAGGCCATAACTAAAGGGTGTATACGTCATGGAAATCTTCCTGACTTATTTCAAGATGGCATCTTAAAGTCTGAATAGGTTATCTGTTGTTTATACTAAGTCGTAAGTGCACAGTCGCGGGAGATTCCCGGATTTGGGGAAGTTCCATTAACTTGGGGTTACCACAGTATATTGTGTACTAAGAAAGTCGTAGTATAGCCTTGAAGCTTGTTTATGCATTATTGTTATTGTAGTTCGTCTGGGACAAAATGGCGCAAACATATTATGCACTGAGGTTATTGCTTAAAGAAACATCTATGAAAAACAATATGTTCCATTTCTAACACCTTGTCAGTTTGCAATATCTCTTAAAGACAAAGTACACAGTTTAAGAAATACAACATTTCATTCTAAAACTTGTAATATTTGCATTTGCTCATAACAATGGTATGGAATCTACAAGGAAATAATTCCAGTCCCAGTTTAGGCCAATTCAGTACTGATGGTGACCAGTTTCCATGGCCATTATTATTCCTGTATTTCCATGGGCACATTGTGACAAACGCTCGTTCCCACGAACGTTTGCCACAAACTCCTGGAGGAGTGTGGAAGCTGATCCACCAACTATGGTTCAGGTCTGAGACACTGTTCGGGAGTTACCCTGCCGAGCCACCCCTAGCAGCTTTTCCTGGGTGCCCCTGGTTCAGCCCTTTCCCTTCATTTGAAGGAAATTGCTCCACGGTGGCCATTTGCATGAACCAAGCACACAAATGGTCCTCAGCAGTTCTTAGCCACTCCAGCTATGGAACTAATTTCGGAATGAGAACTTCCTGGGTCCCCGGTCACCTCAGCGTTAGTTAGCTGCAAATGTTATGGAACGGTTTACGGCATGAGGTGATCGTGCGGCTCGCAGACAACTTGCTCTAGCATTTTGTACCAATATGGAACTCGCCAGGAGAGCGCTTTTTGAAGGGAAGGTGCCTGAGACTTAAGGGGAACAAACGCTACCTGAGAGCCAGGTGTAGCACCACGTATTTTGAACACAGGAGCTTTCGAAAGTTGACTGAAAAGCAGCAAATGCTCTGGAACTATTTTGGGCATAGGATCACGTGTGCTGCCGGTCAGAACTTTACCAAGGTGGCGTTTCCCCTAAACTACATGGATCTGAGCACCTCCCCTAGCGTTAAGCACAAATTAAGTAATTAACTCAAGTGCTTTCCCTGGGTGACCATGTACCTCTGTCTGCGTTCGGGTATACGAATGACGGCCATTTTGTCTACTGAACACAGGCAGCGGTACATGGTCGAACGCCTGGAACTAATTTAGGATACGTGAGTCCACAAACCCAGCCAGAGCTCGTGCCACTGCCTGTCCCACTTCTCGCTCAACAAGACGAACTACCAACTAGGGGGAACATTCACTACCTAAAATCCAGGGGAACCGTTTGTCTGTGTTCGTACAGGAACCCACGAAAGCTGACGAGCAGTCACACTCCTTTCTCTGGAACTGATCTGGGCCATCGCCTTGTGGCCGGTCGGTCAGAACTTTACCCGAATGGCAATTCCATTCCACCGAACAGATCTGAGCGCTATTTGGACAACCTGGCCGCTCAGATCAGGGCTATTCGGGAACATGAAACATGTGGGGTTCCTATAAAATATGACTATGTTTTTGTGGTGTTTTATGTATGTTTCATATAATTTACTATAACTGAGAGATAATTGAGTTACTCAGTTTGATTCAAATATCTCTCAATTGGACACCTGGGAGGGGCTTGTGTACTTTTTGGATGGAGACCCCACGCTGGGATTATTTGCATAAAAGGCTGAGTTTGTGTGGAATAAATAAGTAATACTCCCAGAACTGTGTGTCGTCCAGTTACTGGGGAGGGATAGAGCTATTCACATTTCAGCGCCTTGTTCTTGAGTTACTGTCTTCACGGATCCAGAAGAGGAAAAGTTCTTGTCAGAACTAACGCTCCGCTACATTGGTTGGCAGCGTCAGGATCCAGAGCTCATGGAGAAACAAGAGCTACAGTCTGGATAGCAGTACCGAATGGACCGTGGATGGAGATCGATTATAATGTCCTAAAACGGTCTACTCTGAAGAATCTCCTGGAGGCAAAAGTAATAGCGTCGAGCAATAAAAAAAAGGCTACCTTCATTGCCAGATAGATGGAAGAAAACCGAACGTTCTGTAACCCTGATCCACCAGCAATGGAGGAAAACGCATTTCAAAAGGAAATACGTTTTCGGCTGTCTTATGGAAAAAACCCTTCAGTGGAAATACTGACACGAACCATGTCCGAAGTAAAAGCATACATACTGTCCACAACCAAACAATCAGCATGAAAGACCCCAAGCAGTAACCGTGATCCAGGAAAGTAAAGCCAAACTACCGTATGGGGCACTTAAAGACTATCTAGAGGCAAATGAGGGCATAGATGCCTTCCTTCAGGACTTTGAGCAGCTGTGCCATTTACACCAGGTCAGCGAAGGAGATTGGGTTCCCCTGCTAGCCGGCAGACTGATGGGAATAGCCGCTGAGGCATATCGGGCAGTCCCGAACAAGGACATCCGAAACAATGCCCGGGTCAAGGCTGTGATACTAGCTGTAACGGAGCTCCCTGTACTCCGACTGAGTACCCTCCGTTGACGGATGCTCCTAGCACTTCCTGAGGACTCCAAGCACTGCAGCAGACACAACAACCACCGCAGACTCCGCAACCGCCGCAGACTCCGCAACCGCCGTATCTTGACTGGAGTCTCGCCGTCTTCCTTCCACCCTGGATCAGCTTCTGTCCTCCAGGACTGCGTGGGAAAGAACTCTTCCTTCCACCCTGTATGAACCTCCAGCATCCAGGACTGTGTGGTGAAGACCCCTCCTCCAAGGAGAGCGTGTCAGGAACAAGCTCTTAAAAGAGCTAAGTGACTCAAGCTCAGGGGAGCATGCAGAGCATAGCAATCCCCAGTGTGATTATAACAGCTCCCTCCAATAACGAGACAAGGCTACGTTTAGAGGGATCAAGAAGAACTGTCAAAACCTTTATTTCCCTTGGGACCAGCCAATAGGGTCACCACAATAACATTGTTGTGAAACCTCAATAAAATCACAAACAGTCAAACCATATTAAGCAACACACAGTGACTTATCACAACACAATGGCACATTTTTAAAGGGGTGGGGGGAGACAATATTTAACAGTAAATATCTCACCTGCCTGCAGAATTAGCAATATGCAAATCTACCCGAATATGCAAATGAACCAGTCTTGCAATTCAGGTAGTGCATACAGAGTGGGCAGACCGGCTACACAGGGCCATCCTGGGATGGGTACAAGCCCACCAAGTGAGCACAATGGAATGTTACAATTGGTGCTACTGGAACAATTTAACAATGGTCTATATCCTGACATCCAAGAGTGGCTACCGACAAGTGGCTACCGACAATCAACAGCACCACCGGCAGTCCGTACAGCTACAGGGAAGGGAGGTGCAGGGGCTGTGAGACACCTTAGTACGTAGAAACCTGGTTCCAGAGGCAACCCAGACGGGAAGCTCTGTGGCCGTTCAGGTGGTAGGAGTAGCAGTCTATCGAATACCCATGGCTTGAGTCCATTTGAATTAAGGTGAAGGGTTGGGAATGGTTGAATTGGGGTTGATGCAACACTTGCCATAAGAGGTGCTATTGGGGAAGGACAGATACACTAGAGATTCTCCCCTGGTATAACGTGTCTGACTTTGGGAGTGAGGTAGTCACAGACCCCACCCTCGAGATATATATATAGACCGGGTTGTGCTGTCTAGTCAGGCCGGGTTGGAAGGAGAAAGATATTATGGGACCAGGCTGTGACGGAACGCTGGCACTCCGACCGAGTACCTCCGCCAATCGATGCTCCTAGCGCTTGCCGAGGACTCCGAGCACTCCAACCGACAACATCAGCACTGCGGACCCCACTTCCAGCGATGCAGCTGCGCCGGGGTCTCGCCGTCTTTCACCCACCCTAAATCCACGAACAGGATCCAGCTCCCAGTGGGTGAACTTCTCCTAAATCCAGAGAGCATAGCAGGAACAAATCAAGCTCTTACAAGAGCTTACTCTGGGGAGTAAGTGATTATAGCAATTCCCAGAGTGTAGGTATCCCTTCCCCCAAGCATGAGCCAAGGCTTCAAGAAAGGTGCAAGTAGGTCTGCTTTATTGAGGGCTACCTGCCCGGTATTTATGCAAGTGTCCACCAGGTGGACCCTCCCCTAAGGGACCCGATGGAACAATGGGACACATATTGGATATTAGCCAATCACAGACAATATAAACAAAACACTCCCACAGTGAAATCATAATCCCTCCTCTCTATCCTGGAGATAATTGGGAAGTAATCAAATTATCTCCCAGGACAGAGGCAAGACTCCATTAACCACATGGTTACAAAAAGACATAAAATTACACAATGTTACAATTACTACATAAAACATATACATGCAGCATATCCCAGATAGCTTAGATCTGAGCGCACCTTATTACAGAATGCCGCTCAAATCACATACATACAGTTCAATCGCCATGGAGCCAAAGTCGTTACATGAATAGGCTCCATGGCATAGCTATCTGGGGTAGCACTACTCACATACTGAAAGTCCTGAACGCCCCGGCAGAAATACACAAACCTTTCTGCAGGGTAAAATACAGCTATCAGCACAGGGGCCATAGTCGGAAGGCAGGAGGCTAGCCAGTAGTCCCCTCCAGGCACAAGTGGCGAAGGGCACTTCGTCACACATCTTCCCTTTGGGGGGAAGACTAAACAGGTACCTGACCTTCTGCCGGTCAGTACCTAGGTTAGTCGGGCAGCCCACCCACAAAGAAAAATATGCAGTGGATGGTAGTGGACTATGCGACCAGATACCCAGAGGTGGTGGTGTTGACCAACAACCACGCAGAAATGGTCACAGAAGCCTTTTTGCGAATTTTTCCCTCTGGAGATAGTTTCAGACCAGGGCACCCAATTTACCGCAGAGGTCACCCACCAGCTCTGGAAGCTCTGCAGCATTAAGTCGATTATGAGCTCCCCCTACTATCCCCAAATGAACGACCTGTGCAAACATTTCAATGGGACACTGAAACAAATGTCAGGATGTTCACAGCCACTAGCAGGGACTGGGAGAGATTCCTGCCATACCTCATGTTTGCATATCGGGTGGTGCCACAGGAATCCACAGGGTTCTCCCCATTCAAATTGTTATTTGGGAGATGGGTGAGGGGGCCATTAGACCTAATTAGAGAACATTGGAAAGGGAATGTTAGCCAGGACGGGACCCCCATAGTCCCATATGTGCTGGAGTTCCATGAACGCCTGGAGGAACTAACCCAAGCTGTGCAAACGGACTTCCAGGCAGCACAGAACTGCCAGCACACATGGTAAGATCGGGGAGCCAGGGACCGCAGCTTTCACGTGCAACATAAAATTTTAGTCTTACAAACTGTCCGCAATGATAAGCTGCAGGCCGCCTGGCAGGGCCCATACAAGGTGGTAGAGCAGAAATGCAATACCACCTATATGATCGGCCGTTGCTCTGTTAATGGAGAGAGACGCATGCTCCATGTGAAGTTCTACCACGAAAGAATGGAGGACCTGGCGTCGATCTGTGCTACGGCCTCAGAGGATTTCGATAAGTCTGGCGAATTAGCGGAGGTCCATTTGGGAGAGCGGCTGAGCCAACAGGAGCGTAGTGGACTTGGAGCCAAAAGGGTGACCTTTTCCAATGTACCCAGTTCCACTACCCTGGCCACTCACTGAGTATAAACTCCATGTCAGTTAGGCAGCCTCCCTACTGAATCACCGAATCGGTACGGGAAAGCATGCATAAGGAGATCGAAGAGATGCTCCGACTGGGGGTGATGGAGCCATCCGACAACCCCTGGGCCTCCCCAGTAGTCCTAGTCCCAAAGCGGAACGGTGCAACCCGCTTCTGCGTAGAAACAACAAGACTGTGTCGGATGCCAATCCTATGCCTATATACTTTTGTCAGGCTGCAGAGTAAGGCAATTGTCTCATTCAAAACCAAACCTATAAGAAGAGACTGCTATCTCACAGTGATATCCCATTGATTCTTGTTTATTAAAGATGTGACCAGAATTTACTTCACAAATTTCTCTTATATTTGAATACTGAAGGTCTGTTAAAATAAAAAGGACAAAGTGTGTAGTAGCTGTGACATTCCCAGAATCCCTCACCTCTCCAGTCAGCAGGTAGTTGACCTCCAGGGTCAGATCCAGGATGATCTTGGTCATCTGATTCCTGTTTGTGTTTGTCATCATTAAGCCGATCAGGTAGCCTGAGAACAGACTCTGGGGTTGTGGACAGGAAATAGAATATTCTGTGACTCTATAATTACAGATATACAAGATATTTAAGTATGCACATTACACCTAAATTGAGACGTAAACAATATTAATAATATATTTAAAAGGACACTGTAATCACTAAAACAACTTTATCTTAATGAAGCAGTTTTTATATCACTTTGCTAAAGCAGCCTAGTCAAACCTCCCTGCATGTGATTTACACAGTCTTTTAAAACACTTCCTGTAAAATGAGATCTAAAGTTGATACTTCCTTTATTGGACGTTATGTTTAATTTCAATCAGAGTGTTATGAGTCAAATTACACAGCGTGGGAAAATTCCAAAGAGCTTTCCCACGCTGTGTAAATTGACACAGAGCACTCTGATTGGTGAATTTCAAGCCAACCAATCAGAGTGCTGTGACAGGTAAATGTAGAGACTTAACTGTCAGTCTCTTCATTTACCTGCCAAAGCACTCTGATTGGATGGCTTAAACCCACCAATCAGAGTGCTCTGAGCCTAATTGCAGGGAGGGGCAAGGCTTTTTTAAAAGTGCGTCGGTTATTATGGATTTTTCATTTGGCCTTTTTTGGGGCAAAAAAAAGATTTTAGAAGAAAACAAAAACATCAAATGGTAAGTTTTATTTTTTTTACAGGTACTTAGTTAAAGGTCCCCCCCTCATTATTTTTAGGGTGAGGGGGGTAGGTAGGGGTTAATTTTTTTTGGGGGGGTGACTAGGGATTACATTTTTATTTAGGGCCCCCGCCCACTACTCAGGGGTGGGGGCTGGGAGGGGAGGAAAATAGGTGCCTCCCTATTGGTATTTAAGGCCCCCACCCGTCACTCAGGGGTGGGGGCTGGGAGGGAGGACATTAGGTCCCCCCCCTTATTAGTATTTAGGGCCCCCATCCGCCGCTCAGGGGTGGGGGCCAGGGGGGAGGACATTAGATCCCCCCCTTATTCCAATTTAGGGCCCCCACCCGCCGCTCAGGGGTGGAGGCCAGAGGGGAGGACATTAGGTCCCCCTCTTATTCCAATTTAGGGCCCCCACCCGCCGCTCAGGGGTGGGGTCAGGGGGGAGGACATTAGGTCCCCCCCATTCCAATTTAGGGCCCCCACCCGCCGCTCAGGGGTGGGGTCAGGGGGGAGGACATTAGGTCCCCCCCATTCCAATTTAGGGCCCCCACTCACTGCTCAGGGGTGGAGGCCAGGGGGAGGACATTAGGTCCCCCCCCATTTTACTGTAGGGCCCCCACCCACCGCTCAGGGGTGGGCCCCAGGTGGGAGGACATTAGGTCCCACCCTTATTAGTATTTAGGGCCCCACCCACTGCTCAGGGGTGGGGGCCAGGGGGGAGGACATTAGGTCCCACACCCTTATTAGTATTTAGAGCCCCCACCCGCCGCTCAGGGGTGGGAGCCAGGGGGGAGGACATTGGATCCTCCCCCTTATTCCAATTTAGGGCCCCCACCAGCCGCTCAGGGGAGGGGGCCGGGGGGAGGACATTAGGTCCCCCTTATTAGTATTTAGGGCCCCCACCCACCACTCAGGGGTGGGGGCCGAGGGGGAGGACAATAGGCCCCCCATCAATTTACTTTAGGGCCCCCACCCGCCGCTCAGGGGTGGGGGTGGGGGGGGGCAATAGGGGGGACCCTACTTTTTTTTTTTTTTTTAAACAGTGAGCAGCCACAGGCAGCTCACTATTTAATAGACATGCCCCTACTCGCGGTTTAGCGAGTAGGGGCAAAAGTTAATATATAATTTTTACTTAGTATTAGTAAATTTGGCTGAAAGAACAATTAAGGTCTTTCAGCCTTTTGGTGGGAATTAGGGAGTTATCTACTAAGCGGCTGCAAGAGAAGTCACGAAGTGCCGAAATGCGAAGTTCCGAATTGTGGAAGTCCCAATTTGACCGACCGTACAGGCAAAGTAGCCGAAAACAGTTCCATAAGTTTTGGCCTTGCGGTCCGTCTCGGTTTGTCCATTAAAAGTCCCGAACATATATGCCACACAGGGTTGAGCTGGTATTCAGATAAATCCCCTGGTTCATGAAATAGGAGTTTCAAGAGCCCTGGAGGTCTTAGCGGTGTTCGGGTAGTCGAGTGTCCAATCTGAGTTCCAGACACTCGACGACCAAACACCGCTGTTCGTGTGTTAAGATGGCCGCCGCCATTTGTTCGGCTGCCGAAATGGCGGCCACCAGGGATTACAGCAAAGCGTTCATGCTTTTTAACCAGGGGAATGTAATGGACGGACAGGGAGGTTAATACAGCCACACTTCACATCAAGGTGGTCCGGTTGTTCGGTACTTTAGTTCGGATGGTGAATGCAGCAGTTCAATGCAGATTTGTATGGCTTTTTACCGAACAACCGGACAAATACTATTAAGGGAACATATATTCACATGAAAGTCTCTATAATAAATTCTCATACGGAAACCTTTTATGTTCAAATAAAAAAATCTGAAGGAAATGTGTTGGACAGCCAGAGGGGTTCTGCTACACACAGTATATACAGGGGGTGTATATTTATCCCCCATACATTATTAGAGAAAATTTATTGATACTTACCGTAATTTTCTTTTCCTGGCTATTATTCATGGCAGCATTTAACATATGGGTTTAGCTCTAATATTCATGGCAGCATATGTTAAATGCTGCCATGAATATTAGCCAGGAAATACACAGTATATACAGGGGGTGTATATTTATCCCCCATACATTATATACAGGGGGTGTGTATATTTATCCCCCATACATTATATACGCAGTATATACAGGGGGTGTATATTTATCCCCCATACATTATATACGCAGTATATACAGGGGTGTGTATATTTATCCCCCATACATTATACACGCAGTATATACAGGGGTGTGTATATTTATCCCCCATACATTATACACGCAGTATATACAGGGGTGTGTATATTTATCCCCCATACATTATATACGCAGTATATACAGGGGTGTGTATATTTATCCCCCATACATTATACACGCAGTATATACAGGGGGTGTATATTTATCCCCCGTACATTATATACAGGGGGTGTGTATATTTATCCCCCATACATTATATACGCAGTATATACAGGGGGTGTGTAACGGATCGCCTGGCACCCCGACTGGGTACCTCCGTTGAAAGATGCTCCTAGCGCTTCCTAAGGACTCCAAGCACTGCAGCAGACACCGCAACCACCAAACCGGAGAAGCATATGAATCCTCTCAAGCATATGAATGCTGTAGACAGTTGAATAGGAACCCTACGAATAGGTTTACTCTCCTAGCAGTCAAACTGGAACAGCATACCATAAATCCTTCCCCCAATAATGAGACGACACTTCACTTTGAGGGTTAAAACAGGAACTCCCTGTACTGTCACATACAGTCTTTTATTCCCAATCCACAAACATAGTACAGCCCACAGGGCGTTACAAAACAACCAATCACATCACAGTTACATCCCACATATTCCCTCCCCTTATCCTGAGAGGAAACTCAATTATACATACAGTTAAAACATACTTCTACCCAACTTTCATAACTCCAAAACCATACATCACATTCACATAAAATTACATATTCACAATCAATCCATTCAGGGGAACAACATATTCAAAAATGGCACAAATCAGACAAGGGGTTCAAAAGTTAGTAAAAAGTCCTTTGTGACTAAATGAAGCATGGCTTTCTGGCCCAAACCAGTTTCAGAGTCTTCTATCCTGGAGATAAGTAATTCAATTATCTCCCAGGATAGACACCAGACTCCATTAAGCACATGGTTGCAAAAAGACACAAAACACTTTAAAATACATAAAGTCACATTTTACACATAACACACAGACATTTCACATATCCCCAGATAGCTGGGATCTGAGTGCACATTATTAGATGAATGGCACTCAGATCACACAAATAAGCCCTTCTGCAGGGGAAATAAACGGTTTAACCTGCAGGGCCATAGTCCAAAGGGAGCAGGCGAGCAACCAGGCTTCTCCAGTTCACAGTGGCGAGGTTGGTT